GGACCATCCATTGACAGGCAAAAACCGAGTCAGAATGCGGCGAGCTGCTGTGAGTGATTGAGTGCATCTGTGCAAGGGACCAGCACGAGGCATGTAAAGTACATGAACTCTTGTCGGAAGTAAAGGTGAGAGGTACCCGTAAGGCAAATGGCATTGGATTCCGTGGACGGGTGTGTATGCGACCAATGCGCTGCCCGAAAGCCCTTTTCGACTTTCTCGAGTCCTCCCTCAGTACCCCCTCCCCCTTCAAGTCTGGAGGTCAAGTTCCTGCTCCCAACGGTGGAGAGAGGGAATTCCGAGATGCCCTATCTGTGTGTGCGCCCATTGTCCAACCCGAGTCTACTTGTTGAACGGCTTGTATCCTTACCCAGCGCAGGGACAGGAGGCCGTCGATGACCATGTATTCGCACGTAGCCATTGTTGAATGCACTGTATAGGATCACGACTTGTGCCCAGCTGCCCAAGGACGCAACTTGATGGGCCTTCGCCTCGCCGTCATCGTCACGCAGGGCAGTGTCACGAATACAGTATTGCTCCACACTGAGTGTATACTGTGAATGTGCATTCGCACGAACTGAGCATGCCAAAGTACCCTATAGCCTATGTGCCTGTCTGCCTCTGCAGCTGAGAGGCTAGCTTGACCGTACTTTGCGTCCAACGTCGTCCCAAGAAACTCAGAGACTTCCCGACAGGCTGGCCCAGCCGCAATGTAAAATAAAAAAATAAAAAATAAAAAGTGCCAGCAGCAAAGAGGGGGTTTGTTAGTGGAAAGGCAACGGGGGAACAGCCGGGGGAAATGTTCGAAATGGCGGTAGGGAATAGCGCGACCGTGGTAGGGTTGAGCGTGAAATTAAGCACCCAGACAGCGAAAAGGGCACAAAGCCGTCAATGCCCCATGTCATCATAATAAGTGGCCATGCTCATTCGATATTGATATCAAGTTCCAACTCCCAAGATACCGAGGCGCAACCAAATGAGGCAAGTTGCCTGAGGTACGACTTCTGCACCGCGCTTCCTGTTGCTCCTGGCTCCAGCCCTGGCGGAGATTCCTCGCACTCACAGTCCCCTTCCCACTTGGGTGTCATGGTACTTCGCGCCCTTCTTAGTGCCACTATCCATGTGCCGGATGCCTCGATGTCTCCGCTGACAGGCTGGGAGCTCAGCTGAGCCAATGGATCGCGTAGGGTATCCATCCTGTTGCCGCAGTAAGCACACACGACGACAATGACCAGATGATCCGCATCTTGAGGAGTTGAGCCAGGTGGTACTCCGTAATAACCACCTTGTAAGGAGTCTCTAGCGTCGAGAGAGCAAACCAGGCAGGCGGATTAGCATTGGCAGGCAAGGTATCTGTACCCGTACCCGTCCGTAGGCTGTAGCCGTACCTTACCCGCCTTGTTGCCCTGCCCAGTAGGGCAAGTCCACCAATTTCTTCATCCACAGCGCCAGTCCACCTGGCATCTCTCGTGGGGTTGATGGTCCCAGTCTCGCCCAAGGCCCAAAGGGACCCTCATACTCCTGACCGTCCTGGAGGGGCTGCTGGGAGACACATAAGATTGAGGACGGGTACGGAGACGGTACCTGAGGCTTGACCCCGTCTTATCCTGCCTTGATGGGTCAAGTGCATCATCCAGTCTTGTTCTCGAAGGAGTCGACCTCAACTGTCTACCGACCCCGTCCGGCCACAACGGGGGACGTGGAAGGTGGAGGGCTGCGAGGGTCTTAAAGCAGAAGCTCTGCTCGGGAGCCCGCTCTGTCGGCCCCAGACCGCCCTGGTCTGGGCGAAAGGCAGACGTACGCCACAGAGTGTTTGAAGTTGGGAGCTGTGTGAGAATCCGTAGAAGGATAACACCTATAATCGTCTATGGTGTTGATGGAATTTGCCAGGTGCGGACCACCATGCTTGCGGTTTTCGGCTTTATTTCTCTCTTGGCTTGGATTAATCAGATACTGGATCATCCTCAACCATACTGGGTGCCGCAGAGTAGCTGAGATACCTAATCATCAAACCCTAGGGCGAGAAACTAGGCTTGCGACCGAGGACCAAGCATTCAAAGCCATCTTTTCGGCAGACGTTGTCCCGTCTGCCGTGGTGCTAACGGAATGAGACAGCAGCACCGTCGAGAGCCGGCGGAGGCGAAGCAAAAGACGGTCGTCGCACCTTTGCCAAAATGGCAATGACAGGTGGCCGGTAGAATGGCTGAAGATTCTCTGAAGGCTTCTAGTCTAGAGGCTTGGGCTGAGCCGAGCGCCGTGTTGTTGAGCTTGGATGGCGTGGAGAGGCACTTGCACCGGCTCGAATCTCTCCTGCCTTAGTCTGTAACTTTGATCGACAGCGAGCCATCTCCGGGGTTGAAGAGGCCCTGGCAGCCTAGTACGACGCACGCCTGGCTGCAACGTCGAGCCGATTCGAATGGTGTCAAGGAGGCCGAGAAGCGGACCGAACCAGAGTGCTGACGTCGAGCGGCGGCGGGAGGTGGTAGGACGAGATAGCCCGAGAAATGTGCAGAGAGCCAGTCATGAGCCATGGGTGGCCCATGGGCGTGTATCTTGGAAGCTCCTACGGATTTGCAGCGCTATGCCATGCCATGGTCAAAGATCCATCGAAAGGCCCTTTGGTTTTGCATGGGTACGGCGTGGGATGCACAGCAATGCCAACGACAGGTGCATGGGGAGTGGTCGGAATGGGAGCTTGGAGATGGGAGATGGTCAAGACCCATTGGAACGGAGACACGGTATCTGCCGCATTGTACCGCGGTAAGGTACCGCAGTTGCAGTCGCGAATGGAAGTTTTGGCTGTAGGTTGTAGCCAGGTGCGATCCCTGTATTCTCCACTCCCCGCTTACCTTATCATTACAGGCCGGCTCGTACTTGCCCTAGTCCACCACCTCCACCAGCCGGGTACGTTAGTGCGTGCTTGTCCACAGTCCACCAGAGCTTTGCAGGGGCTAATACTTGGAGCTAGGCCGCACTGGACATTAGGTCCTCGAGGGGCTCCTGATGCTTGGGTAATCATCTTTGTACTCGTACCTTCGTTCCTTGCACTTCCCTCCATCTGATGACACCGTCTGCGTCAAGTATTCTTGCCATGTGTGCCGCATTTCCTTCGTTAGGAAAAGTGTGGGAAAGGTACCTGTCTGCCTTACCTAACGGTACTTATCTACGGTACCTTCCCAGACTAAGGATACGTACCTGCCTTTTTGTCGATTGTACACCCAAGATATCTTGCTTGCCTCTAGCGTCAGGCTAGGAATCTCAACCAGCCACTCTTTCTGGCCGGCCTGGGTTTTGCCGTTGCCATCTATTTCATTGTTCCTGTATGTCTATTATTCATTGCCCTTCTCCATTTCTTTTGCAAGCATTTATCGGTGATTACAATGGAATATACGGATACATCATATATCTATGGTGCCTACCAGTGGCTCTATGCTGCTAGTATAGGTACCTAGGTACCGACTACACTGCTGCAGCCATGGCCGTCACGTTTGTATACCTCGAGTTGAGTAAGCTAACGCAGTGTTCGGACATCTTCCCAAGGTATTCAAATGTACTCGCTGCCCGTGCCTGTAGCGATTTGAAGTCGAGGAACGGCAGAGAGGAGGGTGACGGCACGGTACGGCAAGGTACGTACTCTGCACTGCATCTCAGATGTGATAACGCACCGCATCATACCTCAACTCTCCCACCCCCCCGTGCCGCTCCCCTCACCCACGAACCAACTGATCAAAGCAGTTGTTAGGTCCCTCTTCTCCGGAGTATTCGAGTTCCCTCCCCAAGCCACCACCTCCTGGCATCAAGTACGGATACCTATTCACACCGGCCTCGCCCAGTTTTGAAGACGCAAAGACATCAATCTCCCCAACACTCAACTGGCTTCAATACCCTGTCGACGAGCCCCCGTAGCTCAATCCACACTCTCTTCCCCTCGCCTCTAGAGTCCCAGCAGCTCCAGCCTCTAGACTGCCAGGGGCCCCTCCCCTTGGTCACAATTGACTTGGTGCCCGCTCGCATGGGAATTGGAGCTGCACCACCATACTCTGCTTGCTGGGGTTCGGTTCTGGAATCCCAAAGACAAGGTTCGTCGTGGAATGGTCATCCTGGAATGCTTCTTGAGCCAGTTCTTTGAGTTCCAGGCCCAGCCGTCGTATAGCACTCATCTTCAAGTGCCGCTCATAGGAAGCATCGAAAAGCAACGACGTCGCGGCGTTTACCATTGTCACGGTGTCACCCACACTAGACAAAACACTCCAACTTAGCCGGCGGGCTCTCATTGATCAATCAACATCTGAGTTCCCTTAATCATCGAAACCTGCCAACCAGCTGCGCAGGCACGTCCTAGTACCTACTCTACGCACTGCCTTCGACGAACCCCGGGCTTTGATGTAATTTCGGCGCTGAATACTTGGAAGTTGAGACAGCTCGAAATCGCTTCCCGATCCAGTACTATCCAACCATCCTACCATGCCACCCAATCGAACCCTTCTTCGGGTCTTCGACGAAGGTTCTGGCCTCATCAGCGTCCTTACGCACAGACGGCGCTAATCCAACTGACACTCGGCCAAGCTACTCCTCACACTACTCATTCTGCTACTGGTCTCACCGGCTGCCTCGTCATCATGCCCTTTTAGGCTCGCAGCGCCGCACGAAGCGTTCGACGGATACTGTTCGTCTTGTTTTTGTGTCTACTCTGCATGTCACCCGTCCGATATGGCGAGCTTGTTGGCCACATCGTCGGACCATGCTCTTGTTCCAACGGCCTCACCGGATTATGAATGTCCAAGAACCCGCAGCCCGGACAGTGTGGCATACGTTGCGATGCGGGTTTCCGATGTTAGATGCCCGACCAATTTGTCTCCTCGTGTCTGAAGGCACTGAAAGTTGTACTATCACGCCACTAAGACGAGGCCGCTGGGGACAAGTCCTTGTACCAAGGACTACAACATCTAATGTCGGATATATCATGCATGCCGCCACGTCGGTTTCATTGTCTGCACCTGGTGCGCCAGCTTGCATACACCTAGCGTGATGCTGCTGTAGACTTCCAGAAGAATGGCAGCGCATGGTAAAGCTATGTACGCTATGCTACGTTCCTCGCGGTGAACCTCGAGCTCGTAGACCAAGAAGCATACCTAGCCATCTGGTCCGGAATGGCCTGTCAAAGATCAAGACGACCGTGGAGCGACTTACACACACTGGCACTGGCCCAATCAGTGAGTACCACTTCGACAACCCTTCGATTTCGGGGTAATCCTTGGGCGAATTTGAGGGGACGCGTCCACATTCTAGGTTGATCAAGACCTCCAGAATAATGAATAGGCCGGTGGCGGACCGGTGTCGTTTGACAGACGCCTTGGCCCTGTCCAACAGCCAAGTTAATATATACAGCTCGCGCCGCAGCTAATGAAAAGGACGGATGCAAGAGCCAAAAATGCAGGAACATGCGTGGGATAGGCTCGCCTGGCCATCACCCGAACGGCCTGCAGCCTGTCCTTGTGGGCGAGAAGAAATGGGATGATGAGGAGCCGATGTCTTCATAGGACTGGTCAGTAGCTTTGTGGAGATCGCGGGGTCTGATGGCGACCAGAAAATCTGCGCCCTTTTCTCACTCTGGCTAATTCACTAATATCCTCACTCTCGCGAATGAGCCTAGGACGTGCTCCTCTTAGCAAAGCCCAATCCAAAGGACTTGTCGACGGCTCTATGTCCAACCAAAGGCCAACAGGTCGACGCCGTATAGCTTTGCTGACAAGGATGGGTAGTCTTATGGAAGTCGCACATCGGTCTGGAAGGGGAGACCCAACTTCCCCCCATCTTCAAGCCGTTGGTGGGAATTAGCTTGCTGTTTCCCTCGGCATCCCTCATGGCGCGCCATCCTCTCCACTCGTCCTGGAGATGCTGGCAACGGCAGTCCCCCAGCAAATAGAATGCAAGCAGAACCACCTTTTGCCAGCCAACCGAAATGGGCAGTGTCATAAGCCCACGGTGAGCAGGGGAGCTGGTCCAAAAGAAAAATGGGGTGAGCAAGCCAGTAGTGTCATCATTCACATGCTAAAAAACTAGCGGTGGCCACCTGGCTCGATAATATCGCAGGCCCTCGAACAGGAACCTACCGAGGAAGCCGTCACCCACGCCAAGTCTTGCCTTATCCTATTCGATCCCGTCAGGCCTGTCCCCAACATGCCGTCCAGCCTTTTGCAACCATCAAAGGATCACAGTCTATCCACCTAAAATCTCGAGCTTGACATGAAAGGGGCTGTTGCTGGCTGAGAGCTCCAGGGAGTTAATTATTGGACGTTCTATGAACCTTTATTTTCGTTGAATATCGAAGGGGGACGTTTATCCGTACAACTGGCGCACTGGTGGTTTCAGGCCGCATGGCTCGCCCTGCATCCTGGGGCTGTGTCTGCCTCGGATCCGAACTTGTGCCAACGAACCACGCGCCTAGCGCTAGGAGCTAGCATCTGTCACGCTCGGTTGTTCCCTTTCGCGCAACTGGTTCCTGGAATCGTTCATTCAGGGGGGACTCCTGCTCTTCGCCCCCAAGATCTCGGGCACGCTGTTGAGCGTGGCTGGATGGACAAGGGGGAGGGCCAAGTACGGGATGGGATTGCGTTTGGGTGCACGAGGGGTGTGTCCAGAGCCAGAACGGTCCGAATGGGGATCCAGTCTCTGTTCTGGATGTCCACTTTGCTCCTGATCCATGTCCGTCAGATTGTGTTGGACATTCCGTGACTCGCATACGGTACATTTCCTAGGCGATCCGACCATGCGGGAAAAGCCGACAAGAGCGACGGTCAACCGTCAAGAAGAAGGCAAACATCACGACGAATATTCACAAAGTTACACTTGGAGAGGAAGCGTCACAATCTCCGGTATGATGGGGGTGTGGAGGAGGAACAGATTACTCGGCCGAGTGCCAGGGGAGCTGCCCATCGGGCAGAGCCTGTCCCGTCCGCCCGCTCCGGGGAACCTCTAAAGAATGGGCAGCAAACCAAGACATAGCAGCAGTGCCGAACAACTACACCACCTAAACCGTTACGGGATAGAGCATCCGGCGCGGACTGAACAGGGACACCGGTACGTGTCGACGACTTTGAAAGGTGACATGCCGGGGCACAGTGAGAAACAAATCAGCCTCAACGGCGGGAACCTCGGGGAACAGCCTCGCAGCGCGCGGCTTGCAAATTGTGGGCGGCTTCCCATGACAGGTGCCAGTCTGCAGCAGACAGGATAGAGGCGTGCGTGGTTGAAACGTTTGGAGCGGAACCTTCAAGTTGGCTTCCGCGAGGCTTCTAGACAAGGATTGCGACGCGGTGAAATCAGCCCTCATCTTGTTCTATTACTTCATCATGCTTCCAAGTTCCGCCGAGCTTCGAGAAGAAGCGGGAGAAGGAATGTGCGATATCCGTGTCCGGGCACCCAGAAAGCCAATTTTCCTAGCCCCTCATCAAGTCCGCCTTGCGGCCCTTGCCTGTCAATATCCGTAGATGGTTCAGACGACGGAGTCGGGACAAAAGAACATGGGTTCTTGTCCGGCACGACGGCTTGTCTTACATATTGAACGGCCCAAGGCGGCTTTCGTCATTACATAGAGCATGCTCATTTTAAAGCGGTCCGCAGAACGTGTTTTGAGCGAGCATGGGGAGAGAATAAAGCAATGATGACGGCTTCGTAGCTTCTACCAAATTTTGTCTGAGATACAATAGTAATCAAACTTTGAATATTTCCCCTTGCAGGCCAGTTCTCCTTTTCCTCAAGGGTCTCATCAGCCTTACGCCGTTGCTACGTACTCCGTACCACGAGCCGGCAAGGCACCTGAGATGATCTTAGCTTGCTAGTTCCAAGAGAGTGTATTCGCCCGATGGGTGTGGTAGCATGGGGGCCGAGTGAATCTTGGTGGTGCAGGCAGGAGAGAGAAAGAGAGAGAAAACCACAATCAACAATCTTCATGGGTGCTTTTTTTGGTTTTTGTTCCGTCCTCTCAATTTCGTATCCATCAGCGGGAAGGATGGATCATGGGTGGCATGGCGCACGCACGCCGCATGCAGGCACAGGCACAGATAGCCCGCAGGCCACGTCCTCCATTTCGACGGTTGATGGGGGTCGTTTTTGGGGTCCTTTTGAGGGGTAAAGGGGGCGGGAAGGAAATGGGCATCCACGCATCTTTCGACTTTCATTTTTTTCCCACCATGTCAAAGAGGTTATTTTAGATTTATTGGAAGATCATCGACAACCTTTTTTCAGTGGATCGCTGACGACACGGCTCTGAAGATGGGACGGCCCCGCAATCTCTGGACCGATTCGGCAAGTGAGGGGCAATATTTCGAGAGTGCTTTCCATCAGTCTAAGATTAGTGATTCATGCGTCCATTGCAGCGCCCACTGCACTGGACTGCTGATGCGGTCGCTTATCTAATCCTCGTCCACTGAGCGGGGTCGAGCCGGGGCATATGGCCAAAAATATTGATTCCCTCGGGCCAGGTCATTTCTTTCCCATCCACAGCAACGTCCATCGCCAACCAAGTTCGCAACCCACTCCAACCGTTGACAGGGAAGACCGAGAGAAAAAAAAAAAAAAAAAACCCCCATCGTATTGCGAACCCGCAAGATAGACGCCATTGACCAACATCATCTCACCGTCTCATTCCGCCGCTACCGAATAAGCAGGGGCCAAGGCAAGAAGTAAAGAAGAACCTCACTTTTTGACAAGGCTATCTCCTTTTCCCCCACCACACATAGTTGCTTCCCTGCTTATATCCCGAGATTTTGGTGGTATTGGGAAAACCTCGTTGATAACAAAGAGAGAGAGAGAGAGAGAGAGAGCAACAGAACCGAGATCGAAGAAAGAGAACCAGGTTGGGGCCACACTATTTGCAACTTTGCCGGGGCAGCAACTAAATTAAACTAGCGGACTTGGGACTTTCATCCTGGACAAGCGACAAGCACGGATATCTTGACACCATGGACAAAGATCTTGACAATGCGAATCCGACCATCCTGAGCGCGGCTCAGATGCCGACGCGTCAGAGCAAGCGTGAAGCACCCAAGTCGGGCCCATTTCACAAGTTCGACGATGTCATCTTCGCTAAACCCTGGTACCTCTCGGAACCGTTCTGTGATGACGGTTCACTATGGTCTGAGCCGGAGGTCGATCACTCTCAGTGGACAGAAGAGCCCATTGATGAACAAGAAATCTACGGTGAGGAACCCTTCTTCCATATTGCTTCTCTCCCGGTTCATCCATAATGCGGTTCACCCTACCAAGTATTGGGAGTTGCATGTTATGAGCTCCAATCCTGCCTGGTCCTGTCACTGGAGTGTCTCAAGCACGGTCCTGCGTAGTCAGGCAAGCGCCACCTTGATGCAGACCACCCACTCATCAGGCCGCGAACTTCACCAAGTGGATGTTGCAATTGCGCGTCGTTTTTGCTCTTTGATGGGTGGTGCCCAAAGATGCTTATACTCCTTGCGTTGGCTTCAGACTCCACGCTTGGAATGCTATCCTTTCCGGATGAACTCCTCCTACGCGTTTTCCGGCTATACTAGGTTCCTAGGGAGGATCACGCGACTGACGTTTCATAGACTTGATATCATCTATCTCAGACCCAGAGCACCCCCTCTCCCTGGGACAACTGGCTGTTGTCAACTTGCCGGATATTCACATCAGCCCTCCTCCACACATGGCCATGGACCCAAACAAGTTGGTCCAAGTGTTGGTCGAGTTGACGCCAACCGTTTCTCACTGTTCTCTCGCCACAGTGCTTGGTCTGGGTGTTCGCGTGCGCCTCGAGAAGGCACTTCCTCCCAATTGGCGGGTGGATGTGAGGGTCAAGGAGAATGCGCACGCGCAAGACGATCAAGTCAACAAGCAGCTCAGTGACAAGGAGCGAGTTGCTGCCGCGCTAGAGAATGATACCCTGAAGGGGGTCCTCGACAAGATGCTCGAAACCTGCGTCTGAGCAGCGAATCAAATCTCGGATACACAGGCTGGGCTCATGCCCGTTTGATGCAAATCTCGACGTCTTGTCATATCCTGAAGCGTGACGCCGAATAGGGCAATGCCTCGGGACAAAATGGTCCGCCCACCGGCTCGCCCGACCAATCCGTCCGATGGGAGCCCAAGTCATGGAATTCAGCCCTTAAAATAGACGATCGACATTCTGCACCGTTTTTTTTTTTAACCAAGGCGTTTGCCACCTTGGCTGGAGACTTTATCGAACAATTGCTATAGAAAGACAACATCTCACCCCGGCATTTTGGGAGCTTCTCTCGAAGGAAATTGATCGACAGGCACACAGTGGGAAACGATCTCCATTTCCGCCTAAGCGCGGATATTGTAGCCGGTCAAAGAAACGTTACCTCGCCTCGCACCCTCCACTCCAGGGCCCCAGCGGGATCGGCTGGCAGTTCATGACTCTTTCAACCCGCGGCAAGACTCCGAGGTAGGGCTGTGCGGGCGGCGGAATTGTTCACACATATTGGCATAGCTTGGCCTGTGTGTGTTGGTTCGTATGTGGCAGCTGGTTCCCTTTTCTTTCGTCTGACTCTTAAGCGCGGGCAAAAGCTAGCGAGCTCTGACGATTCGGATTATCCGAATAGCTCGTCTGCATGGAACTAGCTGGTAGCCAGGACCAGATACATTGAGTGAATGGAACAACCAGTCTTTTTTTCGCCTCTACTACCTCGATGTGCCAGGGATGTGTCTTCTTCTTCTTCCGTTCAAGTGGCTTCGTCATCTACCAATCTGAACCCCGTCAACGTTGAGCATGGATGCAACGCTATATCAGAGGGACATATATAGACCGTTGATAAACAACACGCGAAAGGTATCCGTACGGATAGCCGATCAAGATACCGAGCACATCCCTGACGCCGCTTACCGCGACAGCCGACGGTGCTTACCAATCTGAAGGGTCCATGGCCGCGCCACCGATGGAGGGGAAAGTTCAGCAGAACTTTTACCGAACGAGAGGTCTACCCTAAAAACTGGTTCGTGACTGGTACGTAGGTAGCCTTGTAGGTGCTGTGGGCAGCTGCTTGGTGTGGTCGATTAAAGGTCAGGAACCATCGGATGGATGGTTCTGACGTATGAAGATCTGCAAATATTGATTTTGTGGCTTTTCCTCGCTGCAACTTGCTAGCATCGGGCCAAGGAACAATGTTCCTGAAGAGAGGCTTTCGATGAATGATAACTCCATATCTTGACCAACTTTTTTTTTTCGTATGATTCCATCCGTCTCCCCGGCGAGGTGGACAAGAAACTTGCCATGGCGTTACATTGTGGTGCCCGACTTGACAGCATTTGAACGTTCCCGCTTCCCTGCCCCCCCCCCCCTTCCTCAACGCAAAGAATCTTGCAATAATTCAAAAGTATACGGCAGTGCCAGAGACTGGGGCGGCTTGTTTGATGGAGAAGCCAGCCAACTCGCCGTGCCGTCGTAAAGCTCAGCGGGCAATTCCGCGTACCGGTCCCGCGGTTTTGAGAGGGGGATCCCCCTAACCAAAAAGTTGATTCCTTTCCCACTTCGCGCGAAACTCTAAAGATGAGCAGAACATGAGCAAGCTGCTTGCTGTGCAGCTTGGAGCCTTGCTTTTTCCCTTCCACCCTACCACCTGAACTCTACCGATCCTTCTCTGAGGCTGCGGAGCATCTACCATTATGAAGGAACCACGGGGAGCGAATGGCAGGACCTGGTAAACGGAATCAAATATCGCCCCCGGCGGGCATGATAGGTTGGTATTGCATGGCTGCCATGGCACGGCGTGGAACCTGGGTTCGTTTCGGTGTCTCGGTCAGACAGGACACAACATACGGAGTCTTGACAGTAGTTCAATTTATCCGGTGCCGGCGCCGCGGTAGCTAGGAGGGGCGTTCAACCTTAGGGGTCGGTCATTGGGCCGCTGGGCGTAGTGTAGATGCGGCAGGAAGACCACCGCATTTCCTACGGCCGTTGGTGAAGATCTTCTTCCTTCAGGAGGGGACAAGGTAATCTCACACCCAAGCCTCGTCGGAAGGATTTCGCACAGGTAGGTATTCGCATTCCCTCCCCCCACCGTCCAGATCTGCCCGAGCCTTCCGTGGCCCAAGCTCTCTGTATGACCTACTGTCCATGGTCTTGCCTACCCGTTCCTTTTTTTTTTCCCATGTCTCTGCGGAATCACGGATACACACGTGTTGTGGTGACACGATCTTCGCGCAAGTGTCCTGTGCTCGACACCCCATGTCCATGTTTATGTCTCTCTCGTTTTCGTTGTCGATGTCGGTGATGATGCCATTGACAACGTTGGGTCTTGGCGAACCTCGTAGAAGTCATCAAATTCTACGGCAAAAAGTCAAAGACTTTCTTTCCTCTTGGCGCTTATTTCTTTAGGCGTTGTGTTACATGGCATTGGATGGACGGCGACCGAATGGCCGACATTTCGTTAATTACAAAAATGGCAGGACAGTTATGGGCCCATTGAAAGATGCGTGTAAGTCTGGCAGGAGGTCTGATGTCACGCATCACGCTATGACGAACATCTTGAGTTCCGAGGCGGAAGGTCGCAATGGGGGCAGGCAGCGCGGGATATCTTGCACATGTCACTTTGCTCCTCTCCCAGCCTCATCATCTATTGTTCGTTGACATCAATCTTCTCCATGATTTACCATCTTGTGATTGTGACAGCGTGAAGCATTGTGACGCAATTTTCCGACATATGTATTTGACAGCATCGAATGCCAAGACAACCTAGAGCTTCCCCTTCCCAGCTCCCTATTTCAGAAGCTGGGGATTTTCTTTGAGGAAGGACCCCTTCGACGACTCGAGAAAGGAAGTTACCAAGAAAAATTGTTGAGAAATTTGGGGGTTCCTGGGGGGAAGGGGGGGGAGGGGTTGATGGATGGGTGAGAGAGTCTACTGCGTAGTTGCAGTGCAGGTTCAAGGTCAAAAAGGATAGGCAAGGGGGGTTTCGAAGCATGTGCCCAAAGGTTCATCACAGCCAGGAGCGCTCTCAAACTGGGCAGGTAGGGGAAATACCCTCAGAGTACGGATAGCTAGCTGTTTCTATTCACAGAGCACACACACTCACAAAAGTGTTGTCTGTTGCTTTCCCCAGTTTCCGGCAGGTGATACGGCACTGCTGGTGGTTGGGTCAGGCTGGGGTTTGGCGGCAAGGGTACGGGGTCGTGGTGGGAGGGTTACGTTGGAGAAGGGGGAAGGAGGGGCAAGGGAAAAGCAGGAGGAGGAAACGTCTGTACGTCTGGGTGGTGGAGGTGGTGGTGGTTGGTAAGGACAACCCAGAGCAAGGGGAACAACCTCTAGATCTTTGGTACACTAGAAGAAGGTGTGCTTTGGGTGTCAAGATATGTATGTATGTCGGCTGATGAGCGTGACTTGCAGCAATGGGGTTGTAGAACGAGGCGTGTGCGCATGTGTCTATGTGAGTACTAGTGGCCTGTGAGCGTGTGTGTGTGTCTCCTTGCATATTGCGAAGCAGCATCGTTTTGCGAGGTGTGGCGGCAAGGCGGTGACGGGTTGTTGATGGATGGGTGGTTTTCCCCTCGTCGTGTTTGTTGACCAATTGCCTCTTTCGCAAGGTTCGGGACACGGGTTGGCTCCTATCTCTATCAGGGACAATGAAATAGATTTTCCCTTCCAGCCCCTTGGTCACTAGGGTTTTTGGCGTGTAGCATGGGGAATGTGGAAGACGACTCATTGCAAATTGCTCTCAGTGCTCATCGCTACCTTTGTCAGATACGCACTATCATCTATGATATCGTCGCTCTCTCTGTATGTTCCTCTGTTCGTGCGACTCGGTGAGGGAGTCGCCAAGACGTACGAAGTAGAATGAGGGAGCAAAGGCATGGCAGAGACTGCCATCGGCCGGCCGGAGCCCGCCGATCCCCCTTCTAACCCTTGACCCAGCCCAAGGTCCACTCGTTACGTCCTTGGGAGTCTCTATCTCTCTCTCTCTCTTATCACTTATCCTGATCAAGCCTCAACTAAGTGTATTAGCTCTGTCTTCAAACAGAGTCTAAAAAGTACACTAGGTATCGGTAACAGAGAAGAGAAACGCGCCGGTGCGGGTTCTTAATGTTAACTCCGATCTCCAGATTACGGCAGTTCTAGCAAAAATAAAAGACGGCACTAAGAGGTTTGTGATGGAACTAAACAACCGTCCGGTTTCTCTTGTAGGTTTGGTCCTTGGAGGGGTTCAACAGGGTTGAGCAACCATAAGGTTTGGGGCGTCCTATTCTTTCCCGCCCCCTTCCACCACCCGCTGAATGGGATTTTTTAACGTTTGCACCTTTTCCTGACCATGCAGGAGAGGGAGAGCCCGTGAGGATACAGGCGCAGGCTAGCGGCACGACACCACACACCAAGCATTTCCTCGTACGTACGGATACGGTACACACGGACTCGGTCGTTCCCCTCTTGTTCCAAAAAGAATGTTCCATGCGTTTGTTCTACCGAAAGGCGCTCGCAGACCACAGTAGACACCACCCATACACGGTCTCTTTGTCAGATCGACTTGACGCTGAACGTACATACACACATACACGCACACATACACGTACACACACACACATCACCTACGGAACTACCGATGCTGTTGTGGCGGAGCAGGAAAAAGGTTTGGCGAGTCAAAGAAGATGCATCGCATCACGCGATAGCCGCCGTCGCATGAGCCTTTTGATTGTGTACCTCGTCAACTCGTGTACGTCTTACGAGGTTGTCTTTCTTGACACAAGTCCGCGCATGAGGCTATAGAGTATGACGCGCAAGAATGGGGAGGTTCAAGAGTTGGCATGATGGGCTTACGATAGAGTTTGGCCCCCAATGGCGTCGTCACCTTGGCGAGGAAGAAGATGGAAAAGATGAGAGCGACGACGTTGAGCTGGTCTCGATGCCGTTCGTTTTCTGATCTCACAGCAGGAAAGCAGGGGAGTAAGTAGACAACTATCTAGGCGTACGGATATTCTTTACCCGCGCCTAGCCATGTGGAAGTCAAATTAGATTCAGGTCGCCGAATGCTGTGTAGTTGAAGGGTCCCCCTTCCCCCACATGGCTTGAGATGTCACCGTGTCAAGGCATCATCAAAAGGATCCGCTTCGTCAGAATTCATCAGCAAAACTTCCACTATCCGTGCGCTAAATTACTTGTGCCCCCTTCCCTTTCTCCTTGCGTTCGCTCGCGTGGCTTAGAGTTGGGTGATCGAAACTTTACCCAGGGGGGGGGACCGCTGAGCCGTTCGCGACGACCGCCGCCGCCGCCAATGGAACTTTACTACCCATCCCGTATGGTACCCAGCGGCAATTGGGCCACCACCACCTCCACACTTTGCAAGTTTCCCGGTTCTTCTGTGAATACACTAAGACGACCAAGTACCGGCCGAGATTTTGCCAGTAGCGCGGTGGGTGCCGTGGTGTTCCGCAATGCTGCTATGCGACCTCAGTGGAGTCCTCTTTTTAAACGGTGACCCGTTCTGATTCAAAGAGACTCTGAAGGTTCATCTGGGATTGTCCCTTCTGCGTTGTCGAATAAATTAGACTGGGATGTGGGGGGGAATAGGGAAGAGGCTCCCATCTTCTGCATGCCTTTCCTTGGTGTCTTGCTCGGTTGGTTGGTACAGTACCACCGTGCGTAGCAGTAGTGGATTGGTGGTATCCGTAGTTCGAAAAGAAAAGTAGGGCTTTAGCAACAAAACGGTGATGGAAAGGAGAGGTACATCTGGCGGTGACAAGTTTGACAACGAAACAATGTTCCAGCAGCTTGTTGTTCTGTTAGTTTGAGAGCTGATCCCCGTCGGCTACAGCCGCTCCAACGGGCGTCCTTCGGTTGTTGACGTGTTGATCATGGAGATGCCAATCTGTGTCAATCTTTATCCCGTTCAAGGGGCATCACTAACAGGCTCGCATTCGGGCCTAAGTATGCAGGTGGTGCTGTATGTGTGTCTACCCCCTCTCCAGAGAAGCCTCGGTGTATTTCGTCAAAGTCCGGAATATGGTCGGTGTGTACTTGTTGCTTGTCGGTGCCAGGGTCTGATCCACTGCGAGGTGAGATGGCTGGGAGGCTTGCAAAGAATGGGCTACTATGGATACTGATACAACCTGAAGGACCGGGAGACGAGGAGAGAATGGAATGGAATGGTGAGCAAGACTGGGGCGATGTACGAATACAGTGATACTCTAGGTATAGCAAGAGGGGGGAAGAAGGAAACTCCGCACTCAAATTAGCTACTGTGGTATCCGTTGTAGATACTACAGAAAGGCACTTCAAATGCAACGGCGGGGGCTTGGCTGCGATGGGCCGGCCGAGGGATGGCGAGGTAGCTCTCAAAGAGTTCGAAGCTCTTCCCTCCCTCCCCCTTCCGGGTTCCGGGCTGGTCCGCAGCAAGCTTTCCAGTGGAGGGATTTTCTTTCCTGCTGTACCGCCGTTCGACGACCCCCGGTTCGATCGGCGTTCCGTATGGCCGGCCATGACGATTAGAATTTTGGGGAGACACGGGATTTGAGGACTCGCTTGTCGGGGAAGTCGGATCGGGGAAATCCAGGTTTTACGGCTTTTGTACTTCAGTGTCATGAATGGTTTTCCGCTGAATTTTTCCTATTGGACGTTGTATTGTGATATGTATTCGAGGCGTGAGATAATTTCCCACTCGAAACTTGTATTTTCAATGTAACTTGGACATTCGGTTCAACGACATTGGGGCAGTGCTGTCTTCCTTGCATCTGAAGTCCAGCTGCCAGGACAGAGGAGATACTGTCGTTCCCTGGACTGCGTTTGAAAAGGTCTAGCCCGCGCCGATACTTTCCCATATCGAAATCGAAGAAATGCCATCGGCCCTTTTTTGGAGGGGAAACCCAGTAACTGGGCAAAGAAGCTGCGGGATACCGCTGATCCAAAGTGTCAGAACGATTGAAGGGGGTGACTCTGAGATTGTCACATAGGTTTCGTTTTACTTCTGGGGTCTTGTCTGGGGGTGTGGTGTTTGGTTCTGCAGTGTCGGTATGGGGCTTGTTTCACGACAGTTGGATCTGCCAAGGGCATATTGCCCCCCCCCCCCCGCTCTCGAGATATGTTACGGATGTGAACATCTCCGTGCTATTAACTCTTGTCATCTCATGTCTACAGATCATTTTATTGTTAAGAAACGGCTCAACTACGGAGTAGAGTATCTGAAGGTGTGGCCATGTGGCTGGAGGCGCAGGATTATTGCGGAGTTCTTACGTTTACATATGCGTCTTCGTGAGGTAATCACATTTCATGCGAAGTCAATGACACGTCTAAAACAATGAACAGGGAAACATAATGCTTCAGAACACGCCGGGAAGAAGGATAGCACCTTGAGGGTTTGCCTTGCCAACTGCTGGCCATCAATGTTCTCAGTCACTGACGGCATCACAGGTCAAGACTATCTATCAGGGTGAAAGGGTCTACCACGCTGATTCATGATTGCAGTCTGCTCAAAGCCAAGCCCATGGATATTCATCCCACATACAAGAGCTGGTACCGAACGATCGTCATGGGCAGAATGAAACTGTATTTCGTGTTCTTGGATCTGTCTCGAGCGAAGTCAAATCCAAAGGGCACAGGCTATACATAGCCTCTTAATTACGAGTGTAACATGGTCGTATGCTCGTCGTGGCTTTGCAATATCTGCAAGCTTCATGGATTCGATTCTGTGCCAAGAAAGTCTCTCGGCATGGACTCAATACCCCGAGATTCTGTAAATTAGAGATCGTGTCATTACAGTATCCCTCACACGACCTCGATCCAAGACAAACATCAACGCAGAGTCATCGAAAACTCACCATTTGCCAGGCAACGAGGGCGCCAAGAGGGCATCCCCCAGGTTGCTAGTCTTGAAGTGAGAAGACTAGGTCCTCAACTGGACCAGGTATTGTAAGCCTGTGCGACTACCCCCAAGTCTATTTCGTCATTTGCGTTGAATTAGAGAACATAAGTTGACAAAAGCAAATTAAAAATGAATCAAAGATGAAGTCTTCAACGCAACATCGAAAAATCATATATGTAACCGAAATACTCATTGCTCAAGTCAAAAGCAATCCATTGGATACCCGATAGCTATCCATCTGCAATCTGCCTTCTGGAAATCTTTCAGTCGTAATTCGAAATCCGATTGCGAGAACTTTCCCACTTTGCGGACTCGCTAGATGGTACCCTCTGGGCCCGGGATCGCCAGCAAGGACCCGGTTTCTCCGCGTCCCGAAAATTGGCCCAGATCGTCTAGTTGGTTAGGATGATACGTTGTGGTTCTTCTATACAGCGATCCGTGTTGACGGCGGTTCGAATCCGCCTCTGGGCAATTTCCCTTTTGCACTTTTGCGAAATCCGTTCGTCTAGGTGGAGAGCATCATCACTGCCGCTTTTTGGATCATCCGGGGTCGATGGGAGTCTTGCTCAAACGCGTGGGGTTGGTAAACTCACTCGATAGAACGAACTTTGGAGAACCTGCATGCATGACTCAGAAACCACTGACTGACTGACTACATACATGCATGCCCGCTGAACATTAGAAACCTTCCTTCGTAACATCTATCATTTACATATAAAATTTCAATTTGGTGTTGGGGAATGCTATTATGAGTACCCGGGCATGAGCGAGTGCCTCAACATGAGATACAGCAGGTAGATAGATGGACACGGCAAAGCCGCACACACATTCTTCCAATGCGGGCTCGTCCGGCGCCGGACGCCGATCCGAGCCCTCGTCTTCGGCCACCGGTGCCCGCAAGATCCCCGAAGGTAGAGCACTTCCAGGATGGCAAGAGCCCGAACTCGAGGCGAGATCCCGTCAACTCCATCCCTCTCCCCCTCTCCCGAAGAAAGGATACAGAGTACACAGATCGGGGGAATCGAAACACGCCCCCCCTCTGCACGCACCATTACGCCCTTCTTCGCCTGGCTGGTCTAGACCCGCGCCTTCAAGGATGGGCACTGGAGCGGGGAACAATACAGTCTACGAAACCAGACACCATCTTTTTTAAGATAGAAAAGCGAAAAGACGCTCATTTCCCCGTTTTTCCTCAGTAGTTCTTGGTATACACGACGGCCCAAGTCCAGGTTGTCTCATGGCCGGCCCATCTATTCGCAGATGCCCACGCAAACCTCGCTGCCTCATCACATGTGAGCCCATTCGCTCTCCATTCTCTTAAGCCCTTGTTTGGCGACTTGCATGACCACCGGTCCACACGCAAGCGCCTGGCCGTACTGTCTCAACAGCCGCATCGTTAGAACCGCTGACCTTGTTACATTCCTGCATGCTGCTGCTCTCCCACCACACACTACTGAATAGCTCCTTAGTCGCCAAGAGCGCCACTCTCCATGAGGCTTTGATAGAACTCAGGCTCCAGGAAGGTGGCCACGCTTACGTCCTCGCTGAGACCCTTTCTCCTTCTCGTCTTCAGCACAAAGTCTCTGGCCGTGGCTTGTGCGCTCGCCGGCTGCAGCGGCCGCAGAATGACCTCCTTGTCGAGAGGATCACCTGGCACAATGCTCCAACTGTCAAACGTCAAGCTGACCATGGCCATACCCTTGGTCTTGATGCGCAGGTCCGTTTCGAAGCCAAAGGAGTCGATGACAGGAATCAGACCGTTGACGCGGTAGAGCGGCGTGCCGGCCACAGGTCCATCCTGAAGGACGTGACCACGGCGCCTAGCCAATGTTGTATAGACCTCTGTTGCGGAGTCCTCAGGGCCAGTCACAGAGACGGAGTATAGAGGCTCCATCAGTCGAGGGGAGGCCATCAGGAACGAGGAGTAGCAGGCCCGCCTAGAAGTGGGGATGATCTGACCGCCTCCCCGGAAGATAGCTTCCGACGCCAACGACACATCCGTGATCCTGAACTTTGTATTTCGAATGGCTGTAGCGAGCAGGTATCGTTAGCGGTTGGTTACCGGTGAGAGAGCAAAGGCTGGGGAATGGCCTGATGTGGGGACTAGATATCTGCTAAGGGCCGTGCCCCCATCCCCGGTCGACCACAGCCCCCTCCTAAAAGGCATGGTTGTTGAATGAGGTCTCGTGCGCAGAAGCAGGTTTTGTTTTGACAGGTTGGGGTAAGATGAGGGGACCATAGTCTCGCTGTGAATGCAAGCCATGCCCAAAACCCAACCCCAACCCCGGTCCCATGTGTGTAGGACCCTCCCGGGAGCTAGTCCCGCCTGCTTGGGGACCAATGGCAGGATACCAGGAAGGTTCCAAGGACAAGACAATAGACAGGAGGCGGATGCTAACAAGGGGTAAGGGAAATAAGGACTCACGTTCTTCGCACAGGGGCCCTTCTCTAGTCGCCCAGCTGAAGCCTTGGCGGATGGTCTCCTTGACCGTTGTCAAGAGCTTCTTGTCGACCTGGAGTTCTGTTAGTCCATTGCCTGGTTTTCTGAAGGTGGAGGGATACATTACCTCTGAGGGCAACGTGTCGTCCTGTAGAATGTTGGGCCCCATCTCATCGGGACCGAATGCCCAGATGCTTCTCGCTGCCAGCTTGTCCCATCCATACGTGTCTTCGAAGTACTTGGCTGTCTTGCGAATAGGGTCCTTGATCTTGACCTTGCCTGACTCAATATCTTCCGAGATGCCCTTGTCCAGCTGCTCGGCAACCATTGTGATCTTGTTCTTCTTGTTCGGCGTGATGGCGTAGCACTTGGTCGCTGACTGCTCAACGACCGTCTCGCAGAAGCGAGTTACAGGATCCGAAATCTTGATCTCCATATCGGCGTAGAGACGTCTAAGATCATGGAGCACACAGTCCATGTACAATTCGCCGGTGCCCAAGACGATGTGCTCTCCCGATTCCTCGACTTTCGTAGTAATGAGCGGGTAGCTCTTTTGAATTTTCCGCAGACCGTCAAGCATCTTGGGTAATTCTGACGGGTTGATGGGCTCGACAGCCACCTTGAGTACAGACTCCGTGAAATGTGTGACAGGCTTGAATATGTAAGGATCTTCATCATCTTCAAGCTTCGGCGGGATGAGTGTCGCCGTTTTGACGATGGAGTTGTCAACTCCACCGAGCAGCACGAAATTACCCGCCGGCACGCCGTCCGTCGGAATGTTGTACCTCGACTCTGCGATGAAGACGTCGGAAATCGTTGCCATAGCCATGTCTTCGTCGTCATCTATCGAGTATCCCTCTCCAAGAACTCGGACTTGCGAGCCAGGATGAGCTGTGCCACTTAGTACGCGACCAAATGAGTAAAAACTCTTGGCGTCTGCGGTGCTGAAAAGTTTTGTTACGTGAATCACCAGCGGACCGTCTTGGTTGCAAACCTTCATGGACTGAGCCAACTTCGTATCCAGAGGGCCAGTGTAATACTTTTCCAAGTACTTTTCCGCAGACTGGTCAGGTGAAGGAATGTGTCCCACGATCATGTCGACGAATCCTGTCGAAGGACCAAAGAACTGCTCGCAGACCAGTTTCAACAGCACCTTAGCGTCAGCCTTGTACTGAGAGGGCTTCAAGGTGATGCCGAGGCTGCCCAAGACAACCTTCAACTCCTCGGGGCTGTCGCTGATTGTGTGCGTAAAGATCTTGTAGATGGGCTCCAGAACGAAGTTGACAAAGGATCGGCTCGATCGTGTCTCTAGTGGCTTGCGGGTAAAGTTTCGCTTCTCGGGGTTGAAGTAGATATCGCCCCATAATCTCTTTGCGAAATCCTCGGTGTTGATGCCGCCGTACGTGTCTGCGTACATCTTTGCGAATGACTGCAGAGTGAAGCACCACCCCATGTCCGTGCAGGCAAAAAGAACATTGCCCTTCTCGGGGCTTATCCGTCTTTCCTCGCCCTTGCCCGGGATGGTGTTTTCAATCACCGTGTTGACCTCCTCGATGACATGCTTGAGCTTGAAGTAGGCATCCTTGGGTGGAAGCTTTAGCTCCAAGATGAGGCGGTCCATCTTGTTGACAATGAGCGTCAACGGGATATCCTCCAGAACAGCATGCTTAATGATCTGCTCCGTGTTGACCTGAACGCCCTCCACGACATCAACAACTAAGCAGACTCCATCGGCTAATCTCAGACTGGCTGCGACCTCATCAACAAAGTTGACGTGGCCGGGGGTATCCAAAATGTTGACCAGATGAGATTTCCCTTTAGAACTCGGGAGAACCAAGCTCATGGGCGAAGCCTTGACCGAGACGCCTCTTTCCCGCTCCACAACGTGGACGTCGGTGTATCTGAGCTGCTCGTCTCTCTTCTTGCCGACCCGGCGCTCGAGCCTGTCCGTGATATCGTGGGTCTCCAACACCAGCATATCCATAAACGCCGTCTTTCCGTGGTGAAGGTGTCCTGCCAATGCAACGTTCCGTATTTGATCGGGGAAGTTCATGAGGTCTGTCATGAAGCTGCGCTCGAAGAATACAGGTGGTAGGTCCGCCTCTTCGATGTTGAACTTCTTCTGCTCGACGGGCGCTATGATTGGCTGCGAGAGCAACTGCTCGTCTTCCTCTCGCACAAGGACTTCGACTTCATCTCCGTATACTTGTTGTGCCGTCGGGTAGTATTGTTTGTCCTCGTGCAGGATGATCGCATTTGATGGGCCGTCATCTATTCCCCTAGGTTAGTTGACTTCCATCGGCACAAGAGCAAGCTATACATGCCATCAATTTCCATCAATTCTTGGCCAGTTGGTGCGGGCGCCTCGCTAGCATCATCGCCATAGACGTAGTCGCCCTCCGCCCCTCGTTCAGACGCCTCTTCAGAGCCGACATCTTCGCCGATGAAGTTACCGAACCTATGATAATAATGTGAGCCCGACTACATTTCCAGCCAAATAGTGATTTTAATTACTTACTCGTCGTAAAGATCATCCATCTTGGCGTCTAGCGGTGCAGGAGATGAACTTGTTGTCGTGGGTTGCTAGAAGCCTGCTGAAATTCTAGTCCACGCGCAGCCGCGTTCCCAGCATGACGGCGGCGCAAAGTTTCTGGCAAGGCTATATTGTGGCTGAAATGAGCGTGTGGCTGAAGCTATGTCAATTGGTCGCACGGCCAACGCTAGGGAAGCAGGTACAGTGGAGCTTTTGAACAGGGGACCTCCGACAGAGAGCTACTGCGCCACAAGGTCCTAGCTGTGGACAGAGCCACCGGAGCGGTGCAGGGTCGGAGCAACCCCACCAAGTATCCAAAAAGGCGGCGAGGGGGGGTAAGAAGCAGCTCTTTCTGATTAGTGACACTTGCCCAACAAAAAACTGTTTACTTCCTTCTCTCTTCACAGTTAAGTAGGAACGGTTCCCGGCTCATCCTTGAAGAAACTCTCCTTCTACTATTCAAACCCAAACGTCCAACATATCCACCTTCAAAATGGCCAACCTTCCTCCCGTCTACATCGTCTCTGCTGCCAGAACCCCCGTTGGTTCTTTCTTGGGGTACGAAGAAGCTCACTCGACGAATATTATCTTGACCGCTTGATCAAGAAGCTAACGTCCCGTCTTCTCTCAGTTCTTTGTCTAGCCTGAGCGCCACGCAATTGGGAGCTCACGCCATCAAGGGTATGTAAATGTCTTATCAACGGTCCGAAGCGCGGGGCAAGCTAACATTTACCCCTCCACAGCTGCTGTCGAGCGAGTTCCCCAGATCAAGCCCGAGGATGTCGAGGAAGTCTTCTACGGCAATGTCTTGTCCGCCAAGTACGTCGCACGCATATATGCAGAATTATAATTACCCCTGCAATGTTTACGCATTCTGACCGAAAACCAGCCTCGGTCAGGCCCCCGCCCGCCAATGCGCTCTCGGAGCTGGCCTCTCGCAGGGCGTCGCCGCCACGACCGTCAACAAGGTCTGCGCCTCGGGAATGAAGGCCATCATCCTCGGTGCCCAGACTATCCTCACCGGTAGCGCCGACATCGTTGTCGCCGGTGGCACCGAGTCCATGTCCAACACTCCTCACTACCTCCCCGTCCTACGCAATGGCGCCAAGTACGGCGACCAGACCCTCGTGGACGGTGTCCTCAAGGACGGTCTCACCGACGCCTACGGCAAGAAGGAGCACATGGGCATGTCGGCCGAGCTTTGCGCCAAGGAGCACGAGTTCACCCGTGAGCAGCAGGATGAGTACGCCATCAAGACCTACCAGAAGGCCCAGGCTGCCACCGAGGCCGGTGTCTTTTCCAAGGAGATCGCCCCCGTCGAGGTCTCCGGTGGCCGTGGCAAGCCCGCTATCAAGGTCGACCGTGACGATGAGGTCAAGAACCTCAACATTGACAAGCTCAAGGCCATGCGCCCGGCTTTCATCCCCAACGGCGGCACTGTCACCGCCCCCAACGCCGCTCCCCTCAACGACGGCGCTGCCGCTGTCGTTCTCATGTCCGAGGCCAAGGTCAAGGAACTCGGCGTCACCCCCATCGCAAAGATCCGCGGCTGGGCCGACGCCGCTCGCGAGCCCGAGCGCTTTACCATTGCCCCCGCGCTGGCCATCCCCAAGGCCATCAAGCATGCCGGCCTTACTGAGAAGGATGTCGACTTCTACGAGATCAACGAGGCGTTCTCCGTCGTCGCCCTCGCCAACATTAAGCTCCTGAACCTCGACCCCGAGACGGTCAACGTCTTCGGTGGCTCCGTCGCCATCGGACACCCCCTCGGCTGCTCCGGCGCTCGCATCGTCACCACCCTTTCGACCGTCCTTCGCGAGAAGAAGGCCAAGATTGGTGTTGCCGGTATCTGCAACGGTGGCGGTGGTGCCTCTGCCATTGTCATTGAGAGCCTGCAATAGACGGACACTCGATTACAGCAAAATTCCAAGATTCCCTCTCCCCAAAAGTGAAATCTCGGAGCTCCGAGTTTGTACGGTCCAAATCAAGTAACTGGCAGGACGTGGGGCCGTGGCCCCGTCAGGCGCCCACGTACACACGCGCAGAGTCAGCGGTTTTGCCGCATGTGACGCCGGTGGTTGTGCAGACTGCAGAAGACTTGACGCACATCACCTTTTTTTTTTGGTCTCGCGTCATGGTACATGAGCCGATGGGCGGGCTGCAAGACTACTGAAGGAGAAAAAAAAAACCTCAAAAGGACAAAAAAAGACAAAAGTATACCAAGTTTTAGATATAGCGCAATGGGCGGCCATTGCAGATCTTTTTACCTAATATCACGAATCCGACGACCGCAGAAACTTCTTCCTTACCACACCCTGCCTAGAGACAAAGACCACAAGTTCCCACTCGGCTGCCGTGATTTGCGTCTTTTTCTTGCGTTTTCTGCACTTCCTCATGCACCGTTCTCGGATAGATCCTGGGAGATTTGACTGATTAGATGATCTGATAAGATCCACTCACGTTACATCTTCGGCCCCTCCTTACAAAGAGTCTACCGCAGAAGAGAACTGGAACTGTGGCTGTGTCGATTCCCCATTTTCTGCCATACCTACTTTTTACGATGTGAAGAAGAGACTTTTGCGGCTTCGTGCATACTTAACGCGGTTGCCGAAGCTTCGACGCGGCGACATCGGCCCCGTGGGTGTGGGACTTATTTCGCGCGCCCGATGCCATGTACACAGGACTTTTGAAGTGACAAACAGGTACAAAATTTGTCCAAACTTTGCTTGCAAGACCTTTTTATTTTGCGCAACTACAATTATTGTACATTCGCAGGAAAGAGAAGACTGAAAAGAGATGAGTCGCAAAAAGAGGCGCATCTTACCCTCTCTCATGATGAGTATCCGCGAAAAAGAGATGGAACCTCTGCCAATCCTCTCCACTCTACTGTTTCTGCAATCAGGTCGAAAAATAAAGAAAAAAATGAAGCCATCTAACGCCGAACCTTTCCCACGCCGTTCCCATGCCAACCCGTCCCAACGATTCTACGATCGCGGTCAGGGCATCAAGAGAAGACCAAATCCATGTAAAGTTGGGGTAACATGGCATGCCATGCCGCTCTGCACCGCTATGCCGCCTGGTATCTTCGTAATTGTGAACTTTCAGCCTTTGCCCATCTTGTCTCCGATCTCACACATGTTGCTGTCTTCATTGTCCGCGCCGCCAAAAACGCCGGTTCCGCTGGATCACCCCTTCACTACTCTGCGGTGTCCATGGCGTCCCCTGCGTCCGAGGTGGGTGCGATGCCATCTTTGAGCCACTTTGACCATCCCTCATTGGACTTTTGGACGTCGGACTGGCTCATGCCCTTCATCCAGGGGCTGTTGAAGACAAACTTCTCGCGAAGCTTCGTGTCACGCTTGTTGCTCGCGTTCTTGAGCCTCTCGAGGTGTCGCTCTTGGCCTTCCTTGTCCTTGGGAACGTTGTCGTAGACAAAGTACTCAGATGTACCAGCCTTCCACACCATCTTGCTCGAGTTCAGACAAATACTAATGGAGAGGTCTTCATCGAACGAGATAGGCTTAGGAATGTGGCTGTCTTCGAACTTTTCGTCACTAGAAGGAAGATTGCGGGCCAACACTGTCTTTTGGAGCTTGTGCCGTGGCACGCCTTCTGTCGGCTCGACTTGGATGAAGGACGAGATGTAGTATTGCCAGCGATCTTTGGCCTTCATCTCATCCATGTAGAAGGTGGTGTCTTCACGCTGTAGCCAACGGACCGAGGCTTCGGATTTGAGCGGGAACTGTAAAATATGTTAGGAACAGGGCAAAGGCATTGATGTCTAGTGAAACTTACCCAACAGATGACAAACATTTCGCCGTCCTTGACGCACTTCTCTGCGTATTTGCGGGCAGCAATCTCTGACTGGTAGTTTGTCTCCTCCTTCTCCCGGCTGTGGAGGTACTGCTGAATGAGGTCCGGCGTCTTCTCCTTCGCGTCAGTGCTGCTGCAGGTGAGAGCAAGACGGCACAGAGTCTTGAGGAGATCCTGGATGGTGTACAGCTTCCAACCGCTCTTAAGGTAGTAGTGGCGTAGAACATCCTGGTACCGGACCTCGTCTATATCGCCAGTGATGTATTCCTCAACAAGCTCAAGGGTCTTCGGCCAGAAGCTCTCAGGGTCGTCATGAGGGCCGAAATAGTTGAGGGTGTTGTCGGCCAAGCCAATATCCTTGGCAGGACGAGGTCGGTTGACGCGATTAACCTCTTCGACGACGCTCTCCTTGCTCTCCTTAACATCTCTGAGACGGGTGTAAATCGTCTGGAACACGTTGAAGAAGACGAAGATGGTTTGGTTGCAGAAGAAGTTGTGCCACGGCCGCGAGAAGAAGCCATCAGCCTTCAGTTCGCCATCAGCGGTGAGGAGAGCATCGTCCCCAGTCGTGACTATGGGCTGCGGGACAATCGGCATCCAGCGGTCATTAGACACGTCGGGGCCAGTGCCATCCTCGGGAGCATCGGGCATTTCTTCCTCGTTCGCTGAGCCAACTTCGGGTGTCGTCTCTTTGCTGCCAGACGCCGCGCTTCCCTCCTTTTGCGCACGCGGCTTAGAGCCGTTGCGGCCAGGATCGAGCACGCCACGGAGTAAATCACCCCTTCTACCGGCACGGCGGCTGCGACCGTTGGTCAGTTCGGTAGGGATGGCCTCTTCAGTCTCATCCTCTTCCGATACATCTTGCAGCCTCGGCAGACGACCCTCCAATTCTTCCTCGGGAATATCGAAGAATGCAGGGATGAATGTCTCGAAGAAGTCGGCAATGCGCTCCTTCTCTGGCACGCTATGCTGACCACTGCTGACAGTGTAGAGCATCATCAGACGAAGCAGCTCAACGACAACCTTTTTGTCGTTGAAATCCCAAACCAACTGATGACGCGGGGCTTTGCCCTTCAAGCTGCGTTGGCGCCTCTGCTCCTCAGCCTTCGTCTTGATGACGTCGACAAGGTGTTTAGCTGAGAGGTTCCTCTTGTCGGTCTGCTTGACGAGAATGCCCATATGGTCGAGACTCTTGAGGTGCATGTGCTCAACTTGGGCATGCCACACCTTCTCCCATTCACGCTGCGAGAAGCGCCATTCCTCATCCTTTTGCTTCATTCTGGTCAACACAATCGGAACTACATTCAGCGGGTTGCTGAACAAGTCGTTGACGACCTCGGGACCCTTTTCACCATAAATCTTTTTGCAAACACGCTTGAAGACCGAGGTACTGTGTCCAGCCAAGGCCTGCGGCATCTGGAAGTGCTCTCTCTCCGCAGGCGACATGACGCTGATTTGCTGAGCGACAGGCTCCAGGAGCTGGATGCACTTGAGGTTTGCCTCGATATTGAAGTCGTAGTCGTGGCGTTCTTCCTCGATGCGATGCAACCCCTCTTCGAAGCCGTTCTTACGATGAGCGACAAATCCAGAATCTTCGGAGGCCCAGGTTGGGTGCGACGCCCAGTCGTCGTTCAACACGGAATTGCAGAGTTCATCACGGCCGCTGCAAGGCTTGAGACGCTCCTGATTGATGGTTAGCGAGCGCAAATAAGACACAAGTGTGGCTGACATACCCTCTTGGGAAGAAGACGATAACTAGGCCCATAGCCTCGGCAGTTGCTCAATGACACTTTGCCGCTAGGAGGCGCGGGTCTGTTATCGACGATTTCGTCATGCGGCTCGTACTTGAGGAACGCCTTCCAGAAACCCAAAAGCTCAGGATTTGCGGCAAAGAAGACGCTGCCCTTGTGAAACACTGTGTTGCGGTCGATGATGGATTGACTGAACAAGTTGCAGACTTTGAGGAACTCGTTGAATGACGTCTTATTACTCAGGTACTTCTTGACCTTCTCGAAGAAGGCGATCTCGTCAGAGTTCGAGGTGGTCGACGTGGGAGGTCCCAAAGGCTCTGGCAATATCGGCGTCAGTGTCGGCTCGACCGCGGGGGCATCAGAAGCCAGCGCCTTATTATGAGACATCTTGGTTCGCTTGTTGTTGACGGCGGCAGGAGGAGCAGCGCCGGTAACAGCTCGGTTGGCCGAGACAGCAGCCTCCACAATGGGCGGTGCAGGAACGGGTGTCTGCTTGTCAGTTCTAGGTCGCTTCTTGTTGTTCTCTTTGGAGGCACTTGGAGGAGCAAAGCTTCCCAAGGGAGGCATCTTCTGGCCGCTCATAGTCGGCTGAGGTGTTTGGTTAGGACCAGGGCCGGGCGGAAGCTCATCGCCAGGTCGTCCGGGTGTTCCCTTTCCTCCTTGTCCGGCTGACTCGGGCAAGAACTGCTTGAAATCTTCGAGTAGGTCAGGTGCAGTGTGGAACAAAGTCGTGACTTGGGCGTACACGTCCTGGATCGGTTTTTGTTCGCGCTGATAAGTCTGGAGAATTTCAAGGAATTGTTTGTAAATCTCAGGCTTATCCTGAAAGCGATTCTGCGGCGTGGTTAGTGCGCGAGGCCTCAGACTGAAGCGGGATATGGATAGCAAGAAAAAAAAACCTCCAGTTAGACTGACCTTGATTTTGTTCACGTAGCTGATGGCATGGTTGAACTCTACCGGCCCACGGCGCTCCAGGTTTGCCTGTTGTTGTTGCTGGTTGGTCGCGCCGTTCAGATTTGCGGGTCCCGTTACCGGAGTAGGGGTCTGCGCATTGCGAGGAGGCTGCTGCGCGTTGTTCGCGTGGGCAGCGCCTTGCGCCGGAGGGCCACGCTGTTGATTTCCACCAGGACCCTCGAAAGGCGCGACGTGACCCTGGTTCATAAACGCAGGCGCACTAAAGTTCGCTTCGGGACTCTCGATGCTGTGCTGTGGTTGCTGGGGCGGGGGCGGTTGCTGTTGTTGCTGCTGCTGAGGCTGCTGTTGCTGCTGCTGTTGCCAATTATTTCCGCGCTGAGGAAAGAGCGGCTGGGAAGCACCGTTAGGGTGTGGGTGGCCTTCGACCTGCGTCCCTCGGCCGGCAATGGACTGAACAGTTGTGCCCATTGGGGTGGTGACCCTGATGGTGTTAGGGTCGTTGCCAGCGCCGCATTCAATCCGGTATCCTGGGGGTAAGAAGGTATTGAAGCCCTGGATCAGGTTCGGATGACCAGCGAATAGCTCCGAGACGCGATTGATGACCCCGGGAGTGTCAATGCTGCTTTGGTCAGTTGTGTCACCTGAACAACGGATCAATCACATACGCCTGACTTTTGAAGTCTTTCATAATGTCGAGGAACCGATTGTACACGTCTGGCTGGTCGTGGAACTGTACCTTGACCTGGTCAAGATACGTCAAGGCATCCTACCATTCATAATTAGCTCTGGCCAATGACAAACAAAACATTAACCCAAAACCAAGCTTTACTTTGACCATGATGGGCGTATCCATGACCGTGGTCGCATTTGGTTTGCAGGCTACAGAGAGGAGGATTTGATGTGCATGGTTCTAGGGGGGGGGGGAATTGGGTAGATGGGAAGATGATGAAGACAAGGCGATGCGCAAATGGATGTAGCGAGATGGAAGGACGGAATATGCACGCGGGGCGGCACTGCATCCTGCCTGGGCAACATACGCCGTATCGGCGCACCAGCCCACATCGGTTTCCACTTTGGATGCGTCCAGCCACAGGCAAGAGCATCGGCAAAGGGTTTGCGGCTGCCTCCTTCTTCATCTGACAAAATTACAAATGACTTATTTCAACTTACGTTCAAGATGGGTTGTTGGCCTTGGGCAATTCCGCCTTGGCCTTGTTGACCTGGCGGCCCTTGACTTTGACCGCCAGCAGCACCGGGGGCGGCGCCTCCAGTATTTCCACCACTGCCACCGAAAGGAGGCCCTTGTTGCATCGGAGGTTGGCCCTCGCGCTGCTGTAGCGGCCCCCCGAAAACAGGTGGACCACCGCTGGCAGCGCCTAGGGAGTTACTGGGGGGGACGGTCGTGTGCGGGATCGGCGCGAACATCTGATGCTGAGTATTGGGATTGTTCGGGCCCCCGTGCGGCGGAGGTCTACTGTTGTCGGGTTGAAGGGGGCCGCCAAAGTTGGCGCCAGGCCCTGAGGGGGCTCCGAGAGGCATAGGAGGCCCGGATGAGCCTGAGCCGTGGTTTGCGAGCAGGCCGCCGGGGCTGTGGATTGCGCCCATCGCGCGAGATGCGACGGGCTGATGTATGGGGATAGAGCCAGCATTGCTGTGATGGGGAGGGCCGGGGGGGTAGCCATCTCGGCGACGTCTCTCGGCTTGTTCTTGTTCGCGTCGTTCCATTTCTTCGGCTTCTTGGAGGCGGCGACGATTTTCGGCCTCGCGCTCGTAGGCGTCCACCTCGTCAGCGGGTTTCCCGCTCATCATCCTGAGATCGATCGTCCTCTTCCACTCCGAACGTTAGCGACGCGTTGGCATATAGCATAGAGAGGAGGTAGGGTAGAGAGGGGCTGTCCTCAGTTGCGCCTGAAGAGTCTGAGGAGGGTGGCTGGACTATGCAACCGCGCAAGCTTTGCGTCGCCCGCCAGTCCTCTGCGACCGAGGATCGTGTCGGAATTGAAGACACTTACAGACTGATGCTACCAATGGTATGATGTCTACATGGGGATCCAACGTCTTATCTCAGATTAGAGTATCGTAGATCTACGAGGACGTCACGTAGGGAAAATTCGTAGTGGTCTCCAAGCTTGGAAGCTGCCGCTCAAACCCCTTCGCGGCTGATTGGAACGAAGCCCCCAGGTGCGGCTTCTTCCGCGTATCACGTGAAGATAACAACCTTATCTCAAAGGTCCGCTTTTTGTATCCAAATGGGGAAAGCAGCCTTTCTTCATCTGATGTCGCACCCGACAGCTTATTGTTACAGCTTCAAACTCGAAAATGTGAGGGTTCCTATTGCGCCTTTGCGATCACTTATAGCCTGGTCGGGCTGTTTCTCTGTTGCAAGCTTGGGTAAGGAAGTTTCTTGGCTACGTTATTAGTTCATTCTCATTGAATAAAGCGAGATGATGCTTCACCTAGATCGGTTGACTGATACGAAAACCTCGAGCTCTAGGTTTTCGGGTCACCCTATAGACAGGCAGAAAGGTGTTGAGCCGGGTTCGCACAGTCACTGATTCTGCAATCTAGCTCCCTTAAGGAGTTTCTGTTATATTTCAATACGTGATCTTCCCTTCTGCAATTCATGAGTTCTAATCGATTCCGATTGACTGTCTTCACTGTGTGCCTTGGGTAGGTGCCTTGGAGAAGAGAGCAATATTATACGTCTTGTATTCCGCTTTGCCGTTTGGGTATTCGTTTACCAAGTATTCTTCGTTCATCATCCATCTACTACTCATCCACGCTTCAATTGCCAATTCATCACTCAAAAGCAAAAAGCAAAAGCTCAGCTCCCTATAGGGAGCCTACGAAAGATCCGAGGAGACTCTTACCAGCCTCAGGTGTAACTATGCAAGGATTTTTACAAGTAGAAAACGGGACTCGAACCCGTGACCCGTGGGAGCGAGGCAATTCAGAACGAGCTGACATTCCCCGCCACACCACGGGCCTTGGTGATGATAACAAACAAATTTGTATCCTATAGAGGGTATGGAGGCGGCAGTTCCAGCAGGCCCTCGCTCATGGCTCATAGGGAGGTCTCCCTAGGCATAGTTCCGTACCTCCTTGATAATCCACTATTTGCAATGGTCAGTCACAGTCCGACAAGGTAAACCATACGGGCTGTTAAAGAAAGCATTGGGTTCACATACCACTTCGCCATTGGCAACAGTACTCGCTACGCTTACAACCTCAATATTGCCAGGCTGAATCTACTCCATTTGTCAGTTTCCCAGTGTCGACATAAATTGATCACAAATAAGAAAAGAAGAGAAAAGGACAGCATGGCATCGACTTACAAATTTGGCACCATCCTTAGTCTCCCACCACACATCCCTATCATCGCCAATCGTCTTGGCCTTCGTCTTCTCGGGCCACGGACTCACACCAACCATGTGCGCCTCAACGAACCGCTGAATGTTCCTCTGCGCCTTATCCCTGCCGTCGTCACCCTCGTAGGCGTCGGCGCCGAGCTGCTGGTAGTCGCGGGGATCCTCCCACGGTTTCCGCGGCAGCCTCTCCACGGCCGAGTTGAGGGGTGCCAGCACGGTGGTATTGCGCCCTTGGTCATCGAGGCGGCGCGAGGCGGATTCGATGTCGCGCGTGAAGCCGGCGAAGACGTTGATGCTCCGGTCGCGGCCCATTACGTCGGAGAGCCTCACGCCTCCTCCTCCGTCTTGGCCCGGGCCGGAAGAGGAGGGGGGATCTGAGGGCGGCGGTGGTGGCATGGCTGGACCGGGGGCGGGGTCTACGGATTCTACGATGGGTTTCTGGCGGAAGAAGCGGGGTGCGTATCCGTTGAGGCCGGAGCGTTCGACGGGGAGGGATCTGAGCTGGGCCGTTACTACGGTGCAGGTCAAGAGAAGTACTATGGCGGTGGGCCGTCTCATTATGCTTCTTGTTCTTTGGGATTGGGGAATTTGTGTATTGACTCAAGATTCCCGTTGGCGCTGTTCAGGAATGCAGCAATGCAGTCGCACTTGCCTTGGAAACTACTACACTGCTGGCGCGCGTCACTTTCACGTCGCATGCGGCTTCGCGGCCTTGGATTTTCCCCACGGGACCAGATTTTTGGAAATCTCAGGGCGACGATTGGCTGCATGATAGGATGACATCACCCATGCTCCGATGCTGCGCAGCGCGGTGCTCTCCGTCAGCAAGAACACCTGCGACTCGATTGTGGTAAGGTACCTTGCTTGCTGTAAGGCATACCAAACCTACAGCAAATGTGCAACCGCTTCACACCACGTGATGCTCGATTAACGAGGCAAGTCGCAAAACGCTTCCTTTCCGAAGATGCCTTCACGATGCCGAAGCGAGTTCTGTCTTTCGTTCCTGCATTCCCGACGGATGAGCGCACTCGCCGAGATACACCGAAAACGGCAGCCCATTACCCCTAGGTATTCTCTACTGTTTCCTCCGGGGCTCTGGGGCCTATTTGTCTCACAGAAAGGGGAGCGATTGCGGAGACGGGCAGTCGTTCCCCACACGTTTCTCAATCCGCGGGTTTCCCTCTGGCGCAGGTGAGTTGAGGTGAGGATGTGCGAAACGGCAGTCGGGGCAATCGGGAATTATTGCTGCATTTGAATGAGAAAGGCTGGCTGGGAGAATCCTATGCCTCAGCAATCAGCGACAAAAAAACGATGCATGGCCACCACTACCAATTGTACCAATAGTTTAGTTTTTGATATCCTCAGTGATCAAGAAAGCTTCTCATGAATCATGAGAGGTTGGATTGGAAACCAAGTCGACACGATAGGTGGCAAGTTTCTGTATGGGGGTTTTTAATGGTCAAAGAAGTTTGAGCACCTGACACATCTAGGCTTTTGCTCCGTCCTGCCGCTTTTCCCCAAAGAATGCCCCCTTTCACATGCGAAAAAGGATGTACGGCCTGGGTTCCCCAGACCAGCCCAGTCAGCCCAGCACCAGCCCCCAAGCATGACTCCAAAAAAGAAGTCCTTGGAGCCGGAAATGGCCCGTGAGAGGAAGGGGATTTGTACTGTATTACTGTGCATTCGACTATATTCGTACGAGTGCGGAGGAACAAGCTGGACTGGAATGCAGGCCGAAAGTGGTCGCCCAGCAGCGGCTAGGTAAAAGAGGGGACGGCAATGCGAGTAGATCCTCGGTCAGGTGCTAAAAGTTCCGGACCGGTCAATCATCTGACCTGTGCCTCTTGTGTGGGGGATTAGGTGGGAGGGGGGCAAGTGAGACTACGGTAGGTACCTACAGTCCTACACAGTACGTGGTGGCTATGCCTCTCTTGCACGTAGCTTCGCTCGTGAAGATTGAAGATTCGACGGCGCCTTGAGAATTGCGCTCGACCAGCCGCAGCCTCGATGCAGCCGCACAGTCTTGAGGGGCAGAAGGGGCTGGAGAAGGGTTTTGGAACGTGTCCCATGGCATGGGGCATCGCAGGCGGCGGGTTTGTGCCCGTGAAAAATGTCGATTACCCGTTCACCTTGTTGACACGAGGCATGTGGTACGCACCCAAGGTTGTGGGGAGAGCGGGAAGGCGACGGGACGCCAATTGCTGGTTAGAGATTTGACGGCAGACGTTTAGTTTTGGTAGCCTCTCAGACGGGAAGACAGGCGGTTCGAGGTTCAGTCAGCTGCATGAGCTCGAGTACGAGGGTAAGCCCGTGACCTTGGGATGCACCTTGAGTGGAAGTGGTAAGTGAGCGGCCTTCACATGTCAGAGGCAAACGATGGACGGCTCGAAAAGTCCTGAAACTGTCACAAAATTCTTCATAGCCTTTTTCTGCGGCGGCTTACTCCAACAATTTGACTCGTGAAAGTGCACTTACCTACACAGTTGGAGCTAAGGCGTGGCAGGTGAACCGGTCTGCCGTCACTTCTCGCGAGAGAGCCTCAAGTGCATCTTGTGAGGTTTTTGGGTCAAACGGCTTCAACATGTCTACTGTGTAATGCCCCCTCTTCCGTTGGTCAGTTCGGTAAACGGAGCGTAGAGGTACCTCAGTAATAGACGGGGAACCTTTAGTAGCCAGACGGGGAATTCGAGACTTTTAGAACATCCCCCACAGTTTCCCCCAGTTTTGCAGGTCGCGGTCCACCACCGAGGAAAGCGAACGCGGGCCCAGTCTCGGCCAGAATTACTGCGAGAAGCCAACGAGTGTCTGGGGTCTCTTGATGCTAGAGGAGCAGTTCAGTTGCAATACCCTCCGCAGACCGGACGCAATTGCCTGTTCGTAGTTAATAGACACAATATGGAGGAAACTTCTCTCACGATGTGCAATTGGGGAAATAAACTGCACATGGAAGAGAAGACCAATTGATATTCCATCTCTCTCGTCGCTCTCGGCTTCCCCACACCTGTACCTAAGAAGAAAAAAAAGGTGTCCCATTGTTCCTCGGACCACTGCCACCGCTTGACCAAAAGGCTCATTCTTACTGGTACGTTCATCTGACTCCCCCGTTTAGTGATGCCAATTCTCCTCCCCCAGGGCCCCAGACCGTCCCTTTCCCCGACCCCCAACTCTGAGTCTCTGACCCAAACTCGGCCCAAAACTCACTAGCACCGCGGGCAAGCCCAGTCGTGGACTCGTGTGCCATGGAAGTCCCCAGTGCGAAGTTGCCCCCCCTGGTTTCTGCCTTTCCCACCGGCGCTTCGACCTCGGCTCACGAATCGCCGTGTCAGCGACCTTTCTGCCACTCCTCCCGTCTGCGCGCACCTTCTCACGCAACCAGAACGACTCGTCTCTGTAAGGCATGTACCACTGTACCACTGTACCGTACCATACGGTACGAAGTATTACCCCCCAGGTCCCTTGCGGAGCGGATACCACTACCACCTGCACCTGCCTTCGGCCCCAGACCCGCGTCGTCCTTGTGCCTTTGTCCCCATCTTCCCTCGGCGTAGCAACAAGACGAAAGGCACCGCTCCTCTTCTCGTTTTCTTCTTAAACCTCTCCATCCAAACTCTCTTCCTCCCCCACCAACTTTCTCTTTCCCCATCTTCTTTGTTTGTTCTCCATCCTGTCCTTTGGAGCGCATCAATACCATCACATCAATCAAAATGGCACCTAGAGTTATCGTCGTAGGCGGTGGTCGTAAGTTACCTCAACCCCTTCCTGCTCCCAACTCCGCCTTTCTCAGTCTTACCACTCTCTCTGCCGCGGCCAATCTCGGCCTCGTCTCACCCGCTCACATGCTAATCCATTCTGCCAGTGTCCGGCTTGAGTGCCGCGCACACCATCTACCTCGCAGGAGGCAACGTTGTCGTTCTCGACAAGCAGGGTAAGTCTAAGAAATTCAATACTGCCACGCTACTTTTGATTGTCGCAAAGCTCACGCTCGTATCCCATAGGCTTCTTCGGAGGCAACTCCACAAAGGCCACCTCTGGCATCAACGGTGCCTTGACGCGGACACAGGTCGACACCGGAATTGCCGACAGCGTCAAGCAGTTCTATGATGATACCCTCAAGTCTGCCCGTGACAAGGCCCGCCCCGACCTCATCAAGGTCCTTACCTACAAGTCCGCTGCTGCCGTCGAATGGCTTCAGGACGTCTTCAACTTGGATCTTACACTCGTTTCGCGGTTAGGGTAAGTCAATCGCAGAAGCCCAATGTACAAGTTTTCTCAGGCTCTAACCTATCCTACAGAGGTCACTCCCAGCCCCGTACCCACCGTGGTCACGATGCCAAGTTCCCTGGTATGGCCATCACCTACGCCCTCATGCAGAGACTCGAGGAGCTCGCCGAGACCGAGCCCGAGCGTGTCGAGATCATCAAGAAGGCCCGCGTTACCGGCCTGAACAAGGACGGCAACACTATCACTGGTGTTTCATACGAGTTCAACGGCGAGGAGCAAAAGGTTGACGGACCCGTCATCCTTGCCACCGGTGGTTACGCTGCCGACTTTGGCGAGACCTCCCTTCTCAAGAAGCACCGTCCCGATACCTTCGGCCTTGCCACCACCAACGGCACCCACGCCACTGGTGATGGTCAGAAGATGGTCATGGCCATCGGCGGTAACGGTATTGACATGGACAAGGTCCAGGTTCACCCTACCGGCCTGGTCGACCCCAAGGACCCCGGCTCCAAGTGGAAGTTCTTGGCCGCCGAGGCCCTTCGTGGTGAGGGTGGTCTCCTCCTCAACGCAGACGGTGACCGTTTCTGCGACGAGCTTGGTCACCGTGACTACGTCTCTGGCATGATGTGGAAGGAGAAGGACAAGAACAAGTTCCCCATTAGACTTATCCTCAACTCCAAGGCCTCCAAGGTCCTTGACTTCCACACTCGCCACTACTCTGGCCGTGGGCTGATGAAGAAGATGACCGGTGCCGAGCTGGCCAAGGAGATTGGCTGCTCCCCCGACCACCTCCAAAAGACCTTCACCACATACAACGCCATTGCCGATGGCAAGCAGAAGGACCCTTGGGGCAAGAAGTTCTTCCACAACTTGCCCGTCGACATCAACGATGACTTCCACGTCGCGCTGATGGAGCCTGTTCTTCACTTCACCATGGGCGGTATCGAGATCAACGACAAGGCCCAGGTCTTGAACAGCGAGCAGAAGCCCTTCGACGGTTTGTTCGCCTGCGGTGAGCTTGCTGGTGGTGTTCACGGTGCCAACCGTCTTGGTGGTTCTTCCCTGCTTGGCTGTGTCGTCTACGGCCGTGTTGCCGGTGACACCGCCAGCAACTACCTCTTCCAGCAGGCCCTTAACGGTGCAGGAGGTGCCACTTCCCGTCTCGGCCAGATCTCACTGCACCTGGACCCTGCCCAGCCTGGTCGCGTCACGATCGACTGGAACAACGGTGGTGGCTCCGGTGGCCAGGGTATCCCTGCCCAGCAGACCACATCGGCCGCCGGCCCCACGCCCGAGAAGGCGGACGGCCAGAAGGCTTCCAAGCCCAACAACCCCAAGGAGTTCTCTGTCCCCGAGAAGGAGTTCTCCATGGAGGAGGTTGCCAAGCACAACACCAAGGAGGACCTGTGGGTCGTCGTCAAGGGTGTTGTGATGGATCTCTCAAACTGGCTCGAGGAGCACCCCGGTGGACCCCAGGCCATCATGAACTTCATGGGCCGTGACGCCACCGAGGAGTTTGAGATGCTGCACGACGACGAAGTTATCCCCAAGTACGCACCACAGCAGGTGATTGGCCGCGTCAAGGGCCAGACGCCGAGTTTGGAGCTGTAAATTTTGAGACGATCATCTACGACGAGCGCACGACGGAATCTTGGCTTTGGGTAAAACAGTGATAACCGGAGTAACGGGTGCGCATTGGCGCGCTTTTTTGAATTTGGGCATTTTTTCTCTCATCTAGGGAATGTATTCATAGATACATGTTGTAGTCTCTTGGATTCAATGGAACTCCAAAGTCTCTGTTCACTTAATTGTCTTTTTCCATGTGATGCTTATTATCATGATTGACTTGACCCCATACGTTCTACATGATTATCATTGTATTACCGGTGCTCAGCCCGAAGCGGTTCAACGCACTCACACTAATCGAGGGGCTGTAAAGGTGCCGTTTCACATTGCAAGCTTTAGAGCAGCCAGTATGAGTCCTCCATTCATAGTCCAGATATTGCTATTACTCCGTTGGCTTGGCATCGAACCGAGAACAGAATGGTTTAATGGTTTGTGCTTCTCAATATTTCCCACATAATACCTAGAGGATACTGGCAGGGATTTAGAAGGAGGTTGCACTTCCCGCCTGATTCTCCCGTATCATCACATTGACAAGCAGGCAAAGGCGAACGAGTGATTGGGTCTTAGATCAGAGATATTGGATGCGGATTTACCTCACGTGCCACGTGGAGCTCGTGTCTCATCACGGTATTCAATATGACTATCCCCAGTTAGCTACTATAAGCTGACCACCCCCCGCCCCGAAACACCCTTCAAGACTACTATAGATCTTGACCGCCCCATCACTCTCAAGATGCTTCTTCGTTCTCGTCAGTCTCTTTGAGCGGCTTCCTCGCGTGAATGATGTACCTGACAAGATTATATCAGCAATGTCGAAAAAAGCCAAACAAGTCAGACATAGAAAGAAAAGTTGGAAAACTTACACCGGAATATACCCATGCATATTCTTATTCTTCAGCTCATTCCTAACCCCAATCAAAAACACATTCACCTCCTCCTTTGTCCACTCGAGCGCCCGCGTAAACGGCGCCATGCTCCACGCCTCAAGCCCCTCGAGCATATTCTCGAGCGTCCAGATTCCCAGCTCGCGGTAGTGCGGGTCCTTGGGCCACGCGTTGAGTGGCCACTTGTACTTGGTGATGACGACGTCCTCGAAGCCGACTTCTTCGAGGAGGGGCTTGAGGCCGGGGCAGTCGACAAAGGGGCGACCAAAGATGTTGCAGGCCTCCTCGAGACGGTCGACCCATTCGATGAGGGGGCTGTCGGGCTTGAGGGTGCCGTCATCGCATTCGGGGCGCATGTGGCCTTCTTGGAGCTCGAGGTAGCCGCCTGGTTCGAGGAAGCTGTCGTGGTGAGATTTGGTTAGCTTTAAACTAAAGGGGATAGACTCTGAGCTGCAGCTTTACTCGTATGATTGTTTGAAGAATCTCTTCCAGTCGGAGATGCTTGAGGTCATTGCGCGAGTGTGGATGTAGTCGAACTTGGTGTGGTATGTCCAAGGCTCCTCAAGGTCGTCAACCTCGAACTTGACGTTGGGCGGTACGCTAGATAATAAAACATGAGTACGACCGACCACCGTCTACTTGAGAAGAAAAGTACAAGATAGTTCATACAATTGAGTCTGCGCCGGAGACAGATCGATACCAAGAACCTAAAGAGCGGCAAGTTAGCATATCTCGCAGACCTAATTTGCAGCTAAAGACTGAATCAAAGGAGGAAGCGCGGGGATTTACCTCGGCGTCAGGATGTTCGTCACCGAATTCAACGCACCAGAGTCCGGTGCCGGTACCCACGTCGAGCACGCGACCTACCTTGGCCTCGGGATGGGCGATGGGTGCCAGACCGAGCCTGTAGTCGAGGGTGAGGAGGAAGACGTTGTGCTGCAGATCTGTGATTCATTAGTTACCTAGGTTAAGTAGCGTACGTCGAGACTTCTTTTCTGTCACAACGTACCCAGCCTATCGGCTTCCTTCTCATCGTTCGGGTAGCTGTATTCTATGCCATGTTAGCGGACGAAGTCGACGCAAGGAAGTAACCCCCAGGTCATGCGGTGAATCGGATACTCACGACCGTCTTTGTATCGGTGGTAGGTTCTGCCGTTCTCGATACGGTGGTTGAGGATTGAGCTTGCCAAGCTAGTGCTTGAAGATGCAACGCTCTGAGAAGCCGAAGATTCAGTATAGACATCAAACGTCTGTGGCGTTGTCGCATTACGGGGGATACTTACAGTCGCCCGGTCCGAAGAGCTGTCATCGGCGCTCTGGAATCATACGTTGTCAGGATGGTTGCAATTCATGGAAGGTGAGTAATAAAACTAGAATGCGACAAGAACCCCGACAAAAATGACCAACTCACAAAATCATCAGCAATAATGACAGGACCTTCGTCGGTAGCAGGTTGCTGCTCTTGGTCGGTAGTAGACATGACTGAGACTGATTTAGTATGAAATTGGTGAAAGATCTCTCTCTTAACTCTTTGAGTGAGTCCGAAGGGGGGAAAACAACATGAAAGGACGGAGGGAATAACGAACGAACCCGAGAGAGCGGCAGCGGTGCCCATTTATCACCCCTCCTTCTCTCCCCCTCCTCTGTCTCTTTCCGATGAAGAAACGAAAGATGATAAGTTGTTTGCCCCTCTCTTTCTCGGTTGGGAGACAATTATGCACGTTGGTGGCAAGGTGCTGCTGGTGGAGAATGTTTGTGCTTCCAACAGCATGGGTCTGTGAACGCATTAGGAAACCAGAACGCAGCCCATCTCCGAGGTACGCGTGGTAAAGTTGCAGTTGTAGACATTTTCAACCGGGATAGTCGATGATTGGCCCATTTTGTGAAATTGGTCAAGGGAACCTACTTGTCACTGGCGTGGACTTGCATTCGAATAGACGGGATGTACTGGAATTTTTGCTCGATGTTCATGCTATTTGGGAGTTACTTTCGCCTGTGGAAGTGCTCCAAAGACATCGAATCTCTACTCGAACCGAAAATCGATCAATCAAAGCTCGCTAAACTTTTTCTAATAAAGAATAATGAGAGACGTACATAGAGGGAACCCCGTACAAGTGCCACGGCCTGGAATCCATTGACAACAAGAAGAGGCCGACTGTCGCAAGAAATCCTACACGTCATGTCTCGAAGTCCATCTTAATAGCTTTCATTTTCCCTAGATAGTTTAAATCGAAACATTAGCCTTCAACATACCCCTTTGTCGTTAACTAATCTCTAGTCTCGCAACTTGTCACCGATAACAACGGTCATATCTAGAAGTCTCTATAGTCGTTAGGCATGATCCGGACGCTTCACGACCGATATCACCATAGTCACAAAGCTGGTATCAAAGTCTTTAGCATATATAATGCGCAAGCCATTTCGTTCCTGCCACTGGATTGAAGACAAAGATATCACCACCCATTACCCACCTTAACCTTCAATATCTCACTACATCCAACACCCGGTTTCAAAAGAACTCAAACCAAAAGACATAGCGCCGAAAGAAAACCCACAAACTTCACCCCGGCCATCAAAAATGTGCAACATCCAGCAATTCATCTGCAACCTATGCGACCGCCTCAAAGTAGTCTCCCTCACCCACTGCAAACCAGTCCTAGACGCCGGCCACGTCCCCTACTCGCACCTCCTCATCAAGATCAAAGACCCCTTCGTCTGGACGCCTTATGAACGTTGCGAAGGGCTCACAATCGACCCGGTAACGACGCGTTGGATGAAGTGCGGCTCGTTCGACTTTACTGACGACGAGGCGGAGATGGATGAACAGTTTGATGCTGATGATGAGATGAGTGACTAATCTGTCGAATCATGACCGACGGCGGTTAGAGCGTAGGTCGAGATTTGCTGGGGGAGAGATGACGACATGCGTGATGGCTGTAGTACACATGTGGGTTTCGAGTGCCAGGCTTTAGAAAAAGATCCAGGCAACCAAATACACATTGGCTGAGCTTGAGAACAACCACAAACAACGGGAAGCTCGTTTGCTTTCTCACTGCGTTATGCAGTTCACATCAGTTCTTATACTCAAGGATCAAATCTGCCATTGATATTGTGCGTAATCGGCTTGCTATTCTAGTGGTATCATCTTATTCTGTAACAACCCGCAACGAAAAGGGACGGCAGAAAGGTATTAGGGACATATGACAGGAAAAGGGGGTTTAGATCCGGCCAGGGATCTGAAAATCGGAGACGTTTGAATCTCGAAGAATTAGAGACCGGAAAAAAAGGTGGCGCTTTTTCAGTCGTAATGATGCTGGATGCTGCAATCATTCAAAACATACGCAGAGAATCTGAGTTTCAAATCGCGAGGTTCAAATGTCGTCAATCAATCTTTAACGGCGGACGGGAGGGGTTCGAGCACCCGTCAAAGGAGGACCTTGGGAGTTCTCCATGTTGCCAGTCAGTTCAGCAACACGCGCCTTAATACGCGCTACGCGAGATTCGATTGCTATACATGGTCAGATCTTGGACGCCAAAGGTTTCTAGTTTCATGGTAAGGCTTACTCTCTTCCCCGCTTGTGTCGTCGCCATCGTCGGTAGTCTTGCTGTATCCGCCGCGGCTCTGTTCTTCGCTCTGGCGTTGAGCTGCGCGCTCCGCAGCGTTCTTGCGGATCTGGGCCCATCGGTCGACTGCGGGCGGCGATCTAGGGCCATCCTCGGGAGACACCGGAGCGGACGAGTTGTCCGCAGGAGGTTCGGGGGTCTTCGCACGTCTCGCGATAGGGGGCGGAACAGCATCCTCGGAGTCGTCGTCAGGGACAAATGCGGGCTGCTCTTGCAGAGGGCCCTGGTCAAACCGCGAGAATTCGTGCCGAGCCTCGTTGGCATCGTCGGTATCGACGCGAGAAAGGGATTCATCAACGGACGGCTCGTACTGCGGCTCGTGAGCTTGGGTCTCAACTGGGGCGGGTTGAGGAGTCTCCATTGGTGTGATGTAAGCTTCTGCAGGTGTTGGTGTGGGGAGATTGGACTCTGAAGCAGCGGGTTGGGGGACAGGAGAAGGAGCAAGCTTTGGCGGCTCAGGAGTTGCTGTCTCGCGCTGGAGCATACCGTTCAAATCTGCGGCGGCATTCTCAGGCAGTTTCGAGTTCCGGTTCTTGTTACGGCCAAAAAGCTTGCGAAGTCCACCTCCACCGGTCTTCTCCTTGTGGAGCTTCTTGGACTTTTTGTCCTTCGGGCTGGTGTCCGGTTCAGGGGTGAACATGTTCTCCCGTGCCTGGTCATATGAGTCCTTTGGCGGGGGCATCGGAGAACTGCGACCCTCCTCGAGTCGGTCGGTTGGGTGCAGACCGCTCGGGGCCTCTGATTCCTTCTCGGATGGAATGCGAGGTTCGTCGTCGTGCGCGTTGGGGGGAAGCGGGGATGGCGAACGAGGGAAACCTGGGGAGCTCTGGGTCAATGGCGAGGGCTGTGGTTGCAGCGAGGGCGACTTGGCCGGGACTTCCGGGCGAAGCTCGGCTCCGTTGGTGTTGCCGTTTGAGTATTCGTTGTGGCCTTGACTGTCCTTCCTTTGCATGGTGGAAACACCGATACCGCGCCCAGCAGTGTTGTTCGCCAGGTAGGCCTCCCGGATCGCTTCCTTATCGTACTTGTTCGCCCATTTCATCGCTGGAGACGCCTGACGCATGATTTCTGGCTGGAGGGTGAATACGCTAGTGGTCTTCTCTCTCGCCGACTCATCATTTCGGCCTCGGCGAGCCTGCAAAATTTGCTGTTGCTTCTCCTGCTGCTGACGGGCCTGAAGCTGTTGAGCAGCAGCTTGGATCCGAGCCTGTTGATCGGGACCGATGCTCGATTTGCTGACATTGGGATCTGTCTTTTTATTGCCCTTCTCAAGAGTATGCTTGCCGGTTGATTTACGGCGGTTGACGCCTTTGTTGCGTCTTGTCCAGCTGAAGAATCCCTTCTTTTCGGCAATGTAGGCTCCCTCCTGAGGCTCGGGGGCGGCGCCAGCAACCATCTCCTCCATGACGAGCCATCGACCACGTTTAATGGTCGTCTCAATCACGGCGCAGCGGCCAAACGCAGATTTTCTCTCGGGAGTCTCTTCGGGTGCAAGACTGCTCATCCAAACCCACCAGAAGCTCTCGTCGAGGTCAAAGCGGGCAATGCTTGCTAGCTCGCCAGGCTCGAGACGATCCGACTCCAGGCGTGGGTTGTGAGATTGGGAGCTCCGTTGGCGTTGAGCTGTCTCGATGGGCGGCAACTGCTTATCGGGCGGCAGTAGCATGTTCGGGTTGTTTGGGTTGTCATCCACAAAGCCAGAAGAAAGGAAATCGGCCCAGGAAGGTGTAGTCGGCCGTCCCAAGCCCATGTTGCCAGCCGCAGGTGTGGTTCTCAAGCCCTGGGGTTTACGAGCCGCGGCTGCCGCTTCTTGGTCATCGTCGTCGTCGTTGTCCTCGAGAGCGCTGGTGAAGCCAATGTCTTCGAAGCGTGACCAGGATGCGTCGCGCAAACTCGTCGAGTGTTTTGAGCTGGAAACTTGAGACTGATTGGCGGAGGAGATCGACTTCAAGACGCGACGGCATTCTTCCGTCAGTGCCTTTACAGGATCCTCGTACTCGGAGAACTCGCGCAGAGCTTGGTCCTCATCGCGGTACTGGAAGTGATTGGCTCGACGGAGTAGCGCAAAGGGGCCCGGCGAGACGGTGTCCACGATCATAACGACCCTGTATGTAGAGGACTGCATCAATGATGGCTTCTGGGGAGGATACTCGGTTTCCTGAAGCAATTTTTGAAGAGACATTGGCAGCAGCGAGATGGAGCCCTGCGTCTGCTTCTGCGGGGCCAAAGATCGCAGGTAGGCGAAGAACAGATGGCTCGTAGCATCAGCGGCGCTGAAGCATGTTAGTGTTGCTAGACCCTCGTGGTAGTTTTACTCACCTTGCCCATGCCTTGTAACCACCTTCGAAGCCACTGCCCGTGTCCTTGTGTTCGAACGCCCACCATGCAGCCGTCCGAGACAATTTCCGTCCGCCCAATCCGTTCATCTTGCTGTGGGCGGCAATTGCAGACATCAAGTCGAAGAAATCGAAAATGATACATGAACGAGCTCCATTATCCACACTCAGAGGGATGAATGTCTTGAACGAGTCCCTCGCCATATTTGAGTCTAATGCGCGGGTAAGCCCAAGGTGCCCATGACATACTCATGTGAAGCGCCGAGTCCGTTTGTGCAACATACCTTGCTCGCCGACTTTGAACAGCTCGTATGCATCCCAGCCTACAACACCACCTGCAAGGCGACTCCAGCACCATTTAACTACGCCAGCAATGACCTAGTGACATGTAAGCATATCAGTGGTAAATCTGCGTTCAAGATTCACAAACCATTGGCTCAGTCATGCGAAGCTCTTGCGACAGGAATTCGCCGCGCAGAGGTTGGCTTCCATCGAAAAAGTGGCGGATGAAGGTCCGGACCGCACTAGGGTCCGAAGTAGGTCTAAACGGCAGCAGCAAAAAGGGGTGGTCGAGGGCTAGGTTGTGACATGTCAGTACACCGTTGGCGCAATTGGCCGAAGTTCAGAGAAAGGCAATGCCAGGAGCTCAGAGACAGATGCAAACGACATACCTCTTGCTTTCAGCTCGTCAGTGCAACGCCTGATCAAGTCCTGGATCTCTTCGGGCTCGACCGTCTTCCTCGTGAAAGCGTCGTCCCATTTTGGCTTCGCGGGCAGCTGATCGGCATTGTCAAAGTTGGCGCCCTTCTTTGCCTTTTTGGAGCCGTCCTTGCTCTTCAATCGGGAGAAGAGGCTAGGCATCTTGTCGGTGGACTTTCGCCTCAATCAAGGCGATTGCTGTTTGGAGCGGGGAAAGGCGCGAGGCATTCGAGGTTGCGACGGTTGGATAAATGGGCAGGCGCGCCTTCTTTGACGAGGGGCAGGTTACAAGTCGTGTAATCGGAAGTGAGACAGGGAAAGTCAAGAAATCGATGTTGGGTGGACTCGCTCGGTTAAGGAATTTGGCCGGGGGGTAAGGTAGGTAGTCGCGAGAGGGTCGCGATAGGGGGCGGGAAGTGTGAGGTGTCGTCGAAAGAGAGAGGTGCGCGCGCGTTTGCTCTTGGTCCAATGTCAATAATACGTCGTTGGAACGGTCCACCACGCGAAGAGATTCCACTAGGAAATTGCGATAGCGGGGGGAACCAACTGCTGAGGGTGAGGATATCGGGAAACAAAGACGGCGGGGTTCAACGAAACGAAGGGAAATCTCCAGCAAGGGAAAGAATGGTGTTAGGAGAAAAGAGGGATGGACGGGAAAGGAGAACAAGTGATGATGTTGCTCCTTTGGCTTTGGGCACGAGGGAAACCGAAAAGAGAAGAGGCAGCAGCTCTGCTGAGTGCGACCTCTGTGTCTCCCGGCCGGCACTCAGGTTAAAGGCAGGTCCCGTTCTTACCTTACTTCTTTCTCTTTGGCTTTTTCCTAGCATTCAGGGGCGAATGAACAATCCGCGGGCTATTAATTGGAGAAGGAGAGAAATGGTATTATTTTGGGGGGGGGCCCCCTGGAGCCTTGGCCTGTCTGCCGGTGCTTGTCTTTTTTATTTTTTTTTACACCACACTCTCCAAGTGCCCTCTTCTTGCCTTGCTTTCTTTTTTTCTTTTTTTCTGCCCTTCTGTTTTTGATCTGTAGCCCCCAGGCCCCCTGTCTTGTTATTTCAAGGTGGGCACAAGTACCTTTTGTGTGACGATCACCGCAGGCGGGTACCTGACTACGACCCTGAAATGGCAACCTAATGGAGAATAGCTCTTCATGCAACGCGTTAGGGGTGTAGCTCTTCCTCAGTCCGTGGGACTCTGTGCAGGCTCTATGGCTCCCAAGAGTCCTCGATGGCTTTTGGCGGCGTCTGGTAGGTTCGCAAGGTCGCTGGCCCGTTGTTTGAGTCTCGACTTGTCGACTGTGGGCGGATTTTCGGGTGATGCTAGTGGCACCTCAGAATCAGGCACGCCGCCCGCCGTACCGCTGCAACACAGCTTTCCCTCTTCCCCTGCCTTACCGATGGGACTAGGTTGGGAGAGTGGGAGAGGCGGGAGGGGCACGACAGGCCCTGAAATGAAATTAAATCGCTGGAACGAGGATCCTGGTCCTAGTGCCACAGGACACAGTCGGCGCCAATGAGACAGACCAACAGGATGTTACCAGCAGAATCGAGTCTCTACGCAGTCACGCAGTAAAGCCTATGGATACTGTCAACGCCGCTGACCTTTCTCTTGCCGGGCTCGCCTCAGGCACTGTGGTCGAGGCCCTGTCGGTTCGACCGAGTCCTGATTCAGTCTATACCGTAGATGGGTGACAACGGGGCGGACGTATCACCGCGGTGGGGGAGAGGCTGTTGGTGGCTGAGGACTAAGATCTCAGGCGACGATAGTAGCATCACTCGGAGCAAACGGTAGAAGCGTTGCGGCGCCCGGACAACTCTCAGAGGCACCGAGAGAACCGGCGATGACAAGTTGGGGCGTAGGAGAGGGAAAGGCTTCGGTGATGAGGATAGAAGGCAAGACGATGCGCGGAAGTTGGAACACTGGACGACCAAAACCAGAGACGACGCGCAATGTGTGATACTAGGTTCAGTGCTTCTGGAGCTAATGCAGAGTATGCAATGCCTGTTGCCGCTGCTGGTGCTCAAAGTAAGAAAACTTCAGACGGCCAAATACAATGTAGCAAACTCGGCGTCGGTATCGGCTTCTTCGTTGATAGACCGGACGAAACGAGTCGAGGGAAGGGAAGCGTGCCTTATCAAAAATGTGCTTCTTTGGTGTCACGGAAGGCTTTTCCCGTCAAGCAGACAAAGGGCTGATCTCAATGATCCAAGTCGTCCACCTACTATGTGTAGTCGGTACCCAAGGCCTCCTTGCTCGTATACACCCTTTCTCGTGAGATATCACCGGCCATGCCTGGTTGAGTCCATGAATGAGGTGAGACAAGTTGTCTCTGCTGCTTGTTGCTTGTTGCTTGTTGCTTGGTCCGGGCAAGCGTGGGAACCCCGTCAGTCGTCCGCACCTTAATTGAGCCCCCCTAGCACCCATTAGCTCCGTTCGCCCTACGCACCTTTTTGGTGTCTTCCTCACAGCTGGGCTCTCGAGCAGCTTGGCAGCCAGGCTTGCCGGGGTACTTGATTGATTGATCCTTAGCTTGAACTGTAGTGGTTGCTGATGATATTGAAGTTCTTAGGATACAGGCCAATGGCGTTACTTGTACAGAGTACCTTGCTATGGGAAGGAAAGGAACGAAAAGAAAGGAAAGATGAGATGCCAAAGATACAATTGGAAGAGCCCCGAGCAATGTTCAATACCTTGGGGAAGGTAGGTATTATGAGGTGGTTTCTGCCATCGCTCCTCCCTTTCCCGGGGCCGCTTTATGGTTTACCTCGCTCCTTCCACATGGCGCCGCAACCCAGTGGGGGTGGACCCTGTCTCGTTTCGGAGCGACTTCCATCTGCCTCGCCTGCTACGGGTAGATCCTTCAGGCTTCACCTCTGCAAAGCTGTATCTGTAAAGGTAGGTCGGTACGGATAGGATACGGATACAGTTTTCGTCTCTTCTCTGTCTGCCATCCATTGCTTGTCTTCGCCGACATCCCCTAGCGCTAACAATTCCACAAGCACATCTACATCTACTATGGAATACCTCATCCCTTGTCATATATCCACGATGCCAACGTCCCCCGCCAGTCCACTCCATCAACCGTTGAAGCGTTGGTGTCATTCGGCGCATACCTGACATAGCGTAGATCTCAGCCCGTATCCACGCCTCCTAGCATCAGTCAGTACCACCGCCACGGCTCGTCTCTCCAACGGCTATGTGTCGCACTCATCTTTTCGTGTCTCACGGTACCTTGGAAAGTAACAAGGTACGACTACATATACCTACCTTAGACGGCGAGACGCGTCTCGAACCCGCTGCTCGCTTGGTTGATGTTCCGGCGCCCGCCCGTCCGCCCCACCACATATCCCCGGCCAGACACGATGCGGAACCATTGTGCCTCAATCGACGGAATCCAATTGACGCAGAAGAAACAGAATTGCGACTGACATTAGAGAAAGAAATTCACAGCCAAAAACCCGCCGCACCGCTAGTTCGGCTCAAAAGCCCACGGCCGACCGCTCACAAAGGTCCGCGAAGGACGCCACACCATCCGTGGTGGTCCAGAAAAGCCCACAGCTCAGAGTAATCTATCTCCGGGCCGCCCAATCTGCTTCTCCCTTCTTTCCTCAGCTCGCCGTCAATGCCAATTATAGGTCGAGGATGATCCTGCGTTTGGTCACTTGGTCGCGCATGAGTTGGCCGGTGCCAGCACATCCTCGTCGTCACCTCATCCATACAGAACCGGGTCTTGCACACATCCACCGTGCCGAGCACCCCGCCAGAACAAGTCATTGGCTGTGACCTGTGCGCTTGATCGTCGTGTGCTGGCATCCGTCTAGGGGTGCTGTCAAAGCCTGACGAACAGCACGTCCTCATCACTTGCATTGGGCATCGTGTGCGTCACCGATCTCTCCGCGACCTCAGCAAATGCTGTGCAGGTGGCACTCGCTACCAAATATTCGTATCGTTATCGCGTGGCCGCATATTCGGATGTTTGGCCAAGTAGCCTCGAAATGGATACAGAGTACGAACACAGTCGCTCTTGACAGATCACTATGGCACGATTGTAATAATACCACGCGGAAGCGGAAGCGGGCCAGCATGGCACGTTACGTTTATGGGCATGATGATGGGCTCCCTCAAACCACCCGTCGGCGAGTGCGGCGGCGCTCGAGCCTCCAACTGCGTCCTTCCCATTCCATCCCGCGTCTTGGGGATTTGTCCTGGCCAGCCTGGTACCTGCGCATGAACACACCTTCGAGGGGCTCAAGGACCTGCTTGCCTGTTCACGTTTGCTCCGCGGGCTCTGAGTGGCCAGGTTTGGATGCGAAACTCTGCTCTGGGCCTGCCTGGATGAATATTGGGTGCGTTGCCGATCGATCAACGTCAGAAATGTCTGTTCAGACCCCACCAATATGGCCAACTCAATTATCGGACGATGTCTCTGGGCCGAAGGGCACTAAAGGGAGGGACGCCATCGTTGACAAACGTTAACAATTGTTGCCCCCATCCATTGAGATGGGACCCGCCAGGAGCCAAGATGCCAATTTTGAGCTCCTTTTGGTGGCACAGTCTCTCGAATGTGGTGAAAGCTGCTGACTCAAACATATCAAATACCTACTGCTTCGCAAAGTCTCCCTTTCATCTGCCGGCATACAGCTCCGGTAGCACGACGCGGCTGCACCAACCCTAATCTTACTCCAATATCGGAAGGACCTTAAATTCCTCGCGATGACATAAGCCACTTCTATCTGAGGAGAAACATGTGACCACAGATTGCGCCCGCGGCGGAACGCGGTTCAGAATGCATTGTGGTAAGAAAAATATGGTACATCTCAAACGTTGGGCTGCGAGGGCCCTATGCCAGTTTCGAGGAGATGTAGCAAAAAGGTTCAGCTCGCCGTCTAAGTCTGCTCAGCTGTGGACGTTGTCTCACGCCAGCTTGTGCTAATTGAGGCACTCCATTCTTCCGCCGCGTTTCTGTTCGCTACAACTCGTATCGTTCACCCGAGCTCTGCAAGCTCTTGAGTCGGTACCGTAATCCGAGACATTACCGGGGCCGGCTTCGGGGTGGCGACAGGACCTCGAAGTGGGACCCGGCCTTCGGGTCCGGGCCGCTGATGGCGTGAAGGTGCCGCATTCCAGAGGTGGCGCTTTGATCACCCCGGAATGTGAGATCTGCTTCACTACCTGGTGGTCTCCAATCATTCGGGTTTTTGCGGTATAGCACGCATTGCTTCGTCTGGAGTTGCACATGACAGCTGCTAGACTCATAAGAGACAGATACAGGTACCTCGTCTTGCAGAAAACTTGACGCTGGATGAACCCTGGGAAAGCTGTTTCGGGATGCATTCCTTTATCTAAAGCTTGACGATTCCAACAGTCTGCTAGCATTCGAGAATGCCAGATATGATTGTAAGCGAGTTGGACCAGTGCTCACTACCTTATCTAGTACGTCAGTACACAGCTACTGGTACATGGGTACCGTTCTCAGCCACAGTGTTCCGAAGCTTGCCTGTGATAGGGTTTGGGCCTTGTCAAGGGGCATCCAAAAGCCCATGAACGAGGGATGCGCGTGAGGTCAGCTTTAGCTCTGGGAAACCCTCAAAGAAGGGGCCCGCAGCTTGGTTTTGTCAGGAGTAGTCGCCAACGAGGACTCACGGGCTTCGTTTAGTGTGTTGTGGTGGTTGAATTTGCTTCTGCTAGATTCCGTGTGCTAGATTCCATGTTATTCTCCTGCGTATGTACAGCGCTTGAGGAGGGTAGATGAAGGGGTAACATTCGCTCCTGTGTTCTCTTTCCAAGTGCTTGAATCAACACGAGATGTTTTGGTAACAGAGCGGCCACGTCTCTGGCGTGAAGAGATATTCTGCAACCTTTTTCGATGGAGATCAATTGTGTTATCTGCACAAGGTATTCGCATTGAGATCCGAGTCCCGAATTCTACGAGTAACGTATGCCATAGACGTCAGGACCTCTGAGGTAGTTGATCTTTGCATTTGAACCAAATTGCATGGCTAATTCAAGCCTTTTCCGAAAGCCCCCTTCCAAACTGGTTCGAACGTCTGTAATTTATCATTGAGAAAAACCCATCGTACAGGCTCTTTCAGATTCTAGGCAGCCTCAAAGGGGCAATTAATTGGTGTTTCGAGGCCTTGGGCTAGACAGACTTATCGAGACGACGTGCCTCTTTCCAGCGGCTCAGGAGTATTTGTAGGTGATGCTGCCATCCACCGAGTGAGGTTTTGGGGGAGTAGCTATCACCTTGCCTAGATACTCTGGCTGAGTGAACTGACGGTTGATATAATGAAACTACACAGTCATCCTAGAACTATGGTCTGAGAGAAGTGATGGCACATTTGTTGATAGACACTCCTGGTACTCGACCTTTAGGCTGTAGAGCGCGGATGATCAATTGTAAATACTTTCACAGAAAGAACAAACGCCGCACGTATTTTTGAAGTACAGAAAGTGCCGTAAGCGAGAGCAAACCGAGTGAACCTAAGTACCTATTTATACAAAGTCACATATCAGTGGAATGCTTACTGGTGGATCATTACCGCTCACAGAATACGTCCCACGCGAGAAGTTCCCCTCACCAATCTGCAGGTCATCATACAGCTTCCCACTTTGACCCTCTTGGACTTTCAGTCGGTTCGAGGCATCCCGGCGAAGAAGTCGAGGTGCCAAGAAACGCAAGGGCCGCGCTTCGCTCCTGCTATTCTTGGGACGCTTTGAAGTTATTTACGTGTATGGCATTCGAAGCCAAGAGTTTAAGGAAGCGTGATATAGAAGCATACATATGAGGATATATGGTGTTAAAATGTTAGCACGAGCAAAGAAACCCATTTGATATCACTAGTATTTTAACGTAAAGACACAATCGGTTATCTAAAGGTCTCCAGTGCAGAAGGAGACATTTATTCCTACTACCTTCTTATGCATGGCATCAACGCATGCTCTGTAACAATATAATGCTACACTCAATCTTTTCTTCACAGCTCCATATCGGAAATGCATTCTGTTGATAACTCCCAAGAGTATGTCCCCGACGACCATCTTCCTCCAAGTCACCTCCCAAGATCCTGCCCATGAATCCTGCCCACCATTGATAGCCCAAAAACTAGAATACCTCATTCAGCCGTAAAGAAGTCACGAGAACTTCGGGCTTAAAGTATTCCCCATAGTCCGATGGCTTTAAACTCTCTCTTCGGTTCGGCCCAAGCTCGGGGCCGACTGGGAACCTAGCCGGGGAGGATCGAGCCCGTAATGCACACCCGTATTTAGGCGCAAACATATGTATGTATAGTAGCTTTTGGTAATTTCGTCTGAAGAATAGAAAAGCCATCATAGTTGAAGGGATGACGTGCGCGGTAATTTCATAGGATCAAAAGCATCATGAGTCCGTAGGAGGAGGGGTGCATGCATGCGTATGCCAGCGCAGGAGCCGCAGCTGAAACTTCCATTGAAGACAGTCAGCTAGAAACAATGATGAGAGTAAGGACCATACATGTGGAATATTTAAATGCAGGAAAAAGAAAGAAGGGGAGTTTGAGCTGCTGCGTTGTGATGATGTAAATGCAGCAACTTACAAAACCGAATGTGATCAGATTGTGAACAGGATCACCCACTAGTTCATTTGGACCAAAGCACTTGATTTCAAGAGAAAAATGGGACTCCTCAAATATTTCTTTCCATTTCAAAATGGTGTCTTCGAGTAGACATACGGTTCCGCCACTCCGGATACATCGAATGCAAGACAGGCCATGCGCCGGAGCAATCAAACCACGCCAACGTG